CTTGAAGGCAACTTTTTCAAACAAATTTCTGATCATTTTCGGATAATATCCAAACACAGTTTATGGATCGAAAAAAACTTTCACAATCAGTTTTTGAGTTTGGGTGTTTTTCATAAAGAAAAATAAGTTTCCATCACGAATAAAAACGTTTAACTGACGAAGGTTGTTTTTTTTTTCAGTTGCGTAAGCGTTCCATTCCTAGCAACAGTAATTTCTTCAGAAATAAAAACGTCTATATCTTTATCTTTCAGTTTTAATTTAGAATATAGAATGGCCTGTTTGACATTTCTTGCGACAAACCAAACTGTGCTTGGAGGATCATTCATTCTTTCTGGTAGTCTCTGTGGCGTACCCGTCTGCATTACGATGATTGTATTCAAGGACTCTTTCTCGTCTCATAATAATAAATCCAGGGACTGATAATATTAAATTGCAAAAGTATAATTGAATTGACAATTCCCTGCTCCCATACTCATCGCGCGTAATACTTTTCGGTCTCTGGTTCTAAATCCGAACTGCGGTTAAAATCATTAGCTTTGACTCTAACTTCCAATGACAATCCCGTCTGCATTTGTGTCCTCACTTCCCCACTGCCACAGAGGTTGTATCAAGGATGAATCCTCTTTTCGGTGTTCCTATTCTAATGGATAAATAACGAACCGTTTTGTCATCATTGTTGGACTCACATCCAAAACATGATACCTGGTGACTTATATTTGATATTGATTCAAGCGTAAAAGAAGTTTTCAAAGATGGTAGGAAGGTTTTCAATCTTCTGGTTTTGAAGGCAATTGTTACCTTGACAATGTTCCGCACCAATATTGCAAAAAACAGACTTACATTACCTGGGTACTGTACCACCATCATGGGTTATGTGTCATTATAATGGAGCACTACCCCCTTTATTTTGACAGGTGTCATGTTGACTTTTCCTTTGATGATTCTGTCGAAAGTCCTCGAGGCAATCTTATCAGTAATTGATTTAGTTTTTCAACCCATGGATTTCTGTTTCTTCGAACGTAATTCAAAATGAAGGGCTTCTAAAATTTAAATACTGTCCCTGTGTCTTTTGATTTTTGATACCATCCAAAGGTAACGTTTTTGCGTGATTTTACGTTACCATTGATGTCGAGAAAGACTATATTGTTTTTCTCGTTAGCCTTGTCCAAATCAAACAAAAGTTAAGGATGTAATTCATTTGCAGCTTTCATCAAATCTTCCGGATCTCCTTGTACAGGTTTTTCAGCAAAACTGAACAATTTTAGCTATAGACGAGCCAAACTAAACAATTTTAGCAATAGACCTATATTCAGTTTCTCGAAAAGTTCTTTATTCCTAATGGGATCATTTTAAACAGTTTTAATCTTCGTGAGAGAGGACAATTAGATATTCCAGGGGATTGCAAATCATGGGAATCGTTTTTGGTAAATGGTCATTATGTTCTTGTAATTTATAGAACAAAATATCCTAGACATTTGTTTGATATAACTAACTCAATTTGAGAAAATTGGATCAACTCGTTCATATCAAATAATTACAGGTAAGAGAAACTTAATAAAATAAATCAGCAAAACATGGGACAAAAAAAATTATTTTTAATAACGTATATAGGAAAGTTATGCAAACGCTTGGGCCATTTTAGACGCTTTTTTTAGTTTATGCTTAGCATTCAGACTAGAAACAGATAGGTTATCTCATAAGTTTTTCTGGTTTTAATTTGGCCAACATTCTGAAAAAAAAACAGTTTCAGCTTTTTTAGACGTTTTTATTCAAGAACCAGTGTAAACGACGGAACGTCTGACTAAGAACTGATCATTTTGATTACTTTCGAGGACCGGGCATGTATACAGATTTTTTGTGGGTTTGCCAAGTGTTAATTGCAAATCAAAATAGCATTATTTGATGATATATAAAACAATCGAAGTATAAGCCAGTCGATTATGCATAATTGTTAACTAATAATTATGTAACACTTATATAATAGCTACGAAAGTTGCGCAAAATATGTTCATATGTTGTAATTTTTTGGCTGGCTTATATACTTTCCGCAATTTCGGTTGGTTTATACTTTAGCTGACTTATTAACACTCCAATTTTTGAGGACATAAATTAGTCCAAGCTTAAGGTGTTGATGAAATTTATCAAATCAAGGATTAATCCAGGAACAACTTCTTTAGCTAGACCAAAAGTGAATGAGCCAAAAACAAATCATGATATTGTTGGCCGAAAACATTGGCACAATTATTGAAAGGAGTTCGAAAAAAAATCTCCCGACTTAAATAAACTATTACTGGCGGAATTTTCGCAATTTACATCAGGTACTATAGGGCTGTTCAGCTGTGTTGAAATTACTTTGTCGTCTATAGTTAGGCCCAAACTATTGTCTACCATTGATGAAATTTGTTACTCTTTTCGTATGTTAGAATTTTTTGAACGACTTGAAACCATTGAAGGAGAACTTTGCATTTTGGGAGATTTCAACATTGACTTGAATGCAATCAGAACAACGGAACAAGAAAATGACTATCTTGAAATACTAGCTGATTATGATTTCATTGTTCGAAATTGTGAAACAACGAGAGTTACAGTTAACACTAAAACGTGCATGGACCATAATATTTCAACCACCATGAATTATGTTCACATTCTGATATTCAAAATTAATTACCATGATTTTGTATTGACTGAAATTGAAATTAATCGAAATTTATAAATAGAAATCTGCAGAAAGAAGGAGAAGCTTAAAAACCTCGAATGAAGCTTTGAAATTTTAATTTTTTATTACCCCAAAAGCTGCGAAAAGTTGCGTAGTTCAATTTCTGATGTAATGTTAAATTTTTGCAGTTTTTCAGAAGGTTTTCTGTAATTTTTTACCATTAGATTGTAATTGTTTAAAGAAAATTGTCCCATGTGAAAAAATTGAATAGGTAGCAAGATGTTGTGCACAAAACTTGGTTGATACATTCAAATGCATAAATAAACTCAAACACACAAATCATGTAGTATAGTAACAAAACCGTTGAGGAATTGCAAGTAGCATTTTTTGACACCTGATTCTCAAAATGCAGAAATAGCAAAAGAAGCCTCAAAGTTTTATTGGGTTTTGAAGAAAAGTAAAAAACTAAAAAATTGATTTGCTCACTTGATAGATTTCATGGTTTTTTAAAAAAAATAGTTCATTATCTAGCTAAATTATGTCAAAAACAATTTAGAAAATTATGTTTTATTAGATTTTAATCGATTTTTAGACAGTTATGTTTTATTTCCGGCTGATGCAATGGAGCTTGAGCAAATTATTGGTACCTTGAAAAACAAGAAAAAATTGTGTTCAAGATGGCTTCAGCACTGATGTGATTAAATTAAGTTCACCAGTCAGCAATCAACTCTTTGTACAATGTTAAAACAATACATTCAAGAGCGTGTTTTCCTGAAACAATGAAAATTGCTGATTTTGTTCCTTTGCATAAATTTGTTCCAAATTCATTTTATTCAGCAAATTGCTTTGAAAAATTGGGTTTTCAAAAGAATGATAAATTTCATTGAACAAATTGGGCAACTAGCAAAACAGTAGAGCGGTTGTTCAAAAAGCACTACTGTGTGCCTGCTGACATCTAAACAAATAATTTTTTGATCAAACCTATTGACAAGAAAAAGTATCAGACACTGTTGTTTGTTGTTTTCAAAAAACCTTCAATACAGTTGATCATACTTGATCAATTCGTTTAAAAATAATGTGCTCCAAAAGACACTACTTTGGCTGGACAAAATTTAGAATATGCGACGAGGTTCAATTATTTTGGAGTCATACTGTGGAATGAACTAAACTTCAGTGAACAAACTGAAGTTGTTTGTAGCAAATTGAGAGAACTTGTTGAAGGGATATATCGTGCGAAAAGTTTTTTTTAAAGTTAACATAATACAATACTTTTGCCTGTAGTTCTAAAAAAAATGATATCGTCTTATTGCTTACAGATGCGTTGCGCAAAACGGAAATGTGGTAAGTTCAAAAAGGAGATGTTGCGGACTTTTTTAAGCGTCAGTTTGAACATATTTGAATCGTTTTCACTGACAAAAAACTGACGCGGTTTTTGAAATGTTTTGTGCTGTTTTCCAAAAGATTTGAACTCAAATAGTTTAGGAATCAGCTTTATATTTTTTGCATTTGGACAGACCCATGACTGCAAAAAAAACTAGCCCAAAAATGAAAGGGTTACTAAATCTACTTGCTGTCAAAACTATGAAAATTAAAAACTTGGTTTCAATGAAAATAATAAGAGCACATAAATTTTTGGTTAATGACAATATGATTCTCTATGACTGAATTTTTCATTTTTTCGAAGATTTTGTAAGTTTATTGGTTGAGTGCTTGAATTCAAAAGTGCCATTTTTTGTTATCTAGGGGTCCACGAGGGATGCTACTGAAAGAATTGAGTAACCCGTATAGCATTCCTGATTTAGCGTTCTTAACTTGACTGATATATGAAAATGAATCTAACATGATTTGTCCACATCAAAATTCAAATTTAGTTCAATTCACTTCGCACTTATTAGGCCTGGGAAGATATTAAATCTTGAAAAAAATCCAGAGGCAAGGGGGCGCGACCCCGAAACCTTCGCCTTGAGGCGTACTGGTTTTATCCATGCATCATTCTTCCTTTCTACTCGCATTTTCACACACGTTCCATAATGAACATGGACAACAGTGAATCCGTTCGTTTTTAGCAGAACACTCCATGCTGCTTAAATAACGCAACCTTTACAGTTAAACTGACGGACGACTTTGTTATTCTTTTGCTAACATAAATCGCACTTTTCATCGCAAAATGTTACTTTTTAAGGAGAATCTAATCCTTATGACATCTTTTCAGGAACTGTCGCTTAATCGTTTGATTTGATAAAAAATCAATTCAGTGAGATCACTTTAATTAACATTCAATGTTTCATTGGAATTTTGAAGAAAATTACTTAATATATAAGCTATGAACCTAGTTATTTATCAGGTAATTCCAGTCACATTTTCATTTTCTGAAATCTATACTACAAAAGGATAAAACGAAACATCTAACGTGTAGTACTAAGAGGAACGAAAACGAAAACCTATCAACAAACAGATTTCGAAATGAAGATAAATTTTTTTCGCTAATTATACAATTGACACGTTCTTTTGTAGATTTAATCGAGTTCTGTTTGTTTTGTTTAGTTATTTTGTGACCTGATGAAAGCGGGGTTAAGTAAGTAGTTAGCATGAAATAAGTAATCACTGTGTGACATCATTTGTATAAACAGAAGATTCTATAAATTTTAGTTTCAATTTTCTATGCCGTTGAAGACGTGGTTGTTGTTGTTTCCGCTGGTAACAGGTTCTCTTTTTCCAGTATAGAGTGGAAATATCCTTTGGACTCCGCGAGTTCAGAGAGCGTTCCGAATTCTTTGACTGAGCCCTTTTCCAGCACCAAAATCCTAAAACAATTGTTTATGCGTAAAGATGAGCTGACACATGTAATCAGTTCAAATTTCGACAATCTTCATAATTCAATTCCATTTCACACTGAGCTCTGAGAAAACTTTATACGAATTAAATATTAGGAAAGCAAACTTAAATACAGGGAAGAACAACAAAAAAATTGGTCCGTTTAGAAAAATAAGTTGAAGACAAGTGAGTTTGTAAAGTTCGTTTCATTTTAAATTGTATAATAAGGAAATATAATGATAAAATCATGGTATTCGCTGCTTTTCTAAATAATTTCAGCAGGATGGGATCTAGGATTTTCTCGAGGGGTGTGTTTTCAAAAAAACTAGAACATTTTGTCGACCTTTTTTTGATTGGGAATATGAAGAAAATTACTTGATATAAAACTACGAACCAAGTTACTTCTCAGGTAATTCATGACCAGACTTTTCGGTTTTATGCGGCGCATAACACCGAAACATTTCCCAGCATAGTAACGCATACTAAGCTGATTTTACTAAAAGCGCAAAGGCCGACCATTGATTTACCGAGCGCTCCCAGAACGCTGAGAAGACCAGGGGCTGATTTAGGGAGGGTTGCGGACGCCCTGCCGGCCCAAAGGGTCCCCCCCCCCCTTCGATATTTTTAAGAAATCCATTTTCACCCGACCGACCCTAAATTTTTCTAAAGGCTCCAGTATATAATAATTTTGGGGGGAAGCGCGCGCCAACAAAAAACACTTTTTTTTTGTCAAACTTTTACAAAAAGTGCCCAAAAACGGCTTTTTTACCTGTTTTTTTTTCAATATTTGCCAGCGACGAAAATTTTTTTTTGTCAGAATAGGATTTTTATAGTGTTCTGGGACCGCTCGGAAACCCAATTTGGTCGACAATTTGGGTTAAAAAATCCCCCCCTCGAGAAAATACTAGATCCGCCCCTGAAGACCCTAGATTGATGAAATTTCCTTGAAAAATAGGTGAAAAGTCGCGTTCTTTTGGCGCGCGCTCCACTTTAAAATTAGCATTAATTGGCGCAAAAGGCACCTTGAGAAAATTTTAGGGTTGTTTGCCGAAAATGGATGTCATCAAATAACACCAAAGGTGTGACCCTTTGGTTGGTGAGGGGATCGAATCTCTCGGGAAGGGGGGCGTTAGGGGCTTCCGCTTCATAACTTTCCATGTTCTTGAAAAAGTTGCCCTAACTTTTCGCAATTTCACTGAATTTCAGACTGGAACGAGTGAAACATGGCATAATAATTTTTGTTCTTAGTTTATAATCCGTTGGTTCCTTGTACATAGTGGAATATCAAATATGGATAAATGCATCCATCCATCTACTGCAGTCTAAACTGCTCTGCTCTAGGGAAGTGTGTACCTATTGGAGTCCATGATGGTGTTTATCCTGTGTGCAATTGTGACTACAGTGGAGTGTTTGAACTCTTGTCTGATTGTGTTCTGGATCAGTTCGTCAGTTGAGAGGTCCACAGAGGCAGTGGCCTCATCTAGCACCAGGATCTTGCTCTTGCGCAGAATGGCACGCGCCAGACATATCAGCTGTCTCTGGCCCACACTACAAACCCAAAACAATCCTCATTAGCCATGAAAACACATAGCCCGCAGCGACAGTTTAAAAATCTCACTGAACTAAAAAACTGAAACCCAAAAATAGAGGTTAAAAGTTCGAGTAAAATATTGACGGGTTTTTTCATTTTCATGAATATTTTATGATTGACATTTCACATAAAATTATCCTAATTAGAGAAAATTGGGTCAATATTTTGTTCCGCTGAGAAATCTTTAAAATGTTAGAACTAAAATCGACATTCGAAAATGAAAGTCAATCACTTTTATGCGCCTTGTCAGCTTTTGTAATTGGATGGCGTCATGAAATGAATTTGAATAAATCGCGTCATTAGAACTGAATTTGAATAAAACACAAAATGAAATCAAAAGCCAAACCACGAATTTGAGAGTCAATATTAAGACAATTTCCAAAAAAAAAAAACCTAAAAACAAAAAACCACATCGCTCCTCAAGATTTTTTAAAGACCCAAATCCAACAAAAGTTTAATTCACTTTTAGTCAACTATAACCCACCTGATATTGGTTCCGCCCTCGCCAAACTGGAACTGGAGCTGGTCCTGCAAATCAGCCACGAATGACTTCAAATGACTCAGCTCCAGAGCCTCCCACAGCTGCTCGTCACTGTACAGTCCAAAGGGGTCCAGGTTGTCCCTAATTGTGCCCACAAAGATCACCGGGTCCTAGGCACACCTTTAGGTCATTGCCTTCCATTTAGCACAAGCACTTGAATTGAAATTCAGAAGAAATCAAAAACGATTCTCGGCGCGTTAAACAGGCTGGATAGCCTCCAGTGTCCGCTCAAGCAGGTACTCTTCGAATGTTAAACTATAATATTTTATACAATTTTGTAGCGCGTATAACTTGAAAACAAATTTATTATTATAAACCGCCAAAATATAAATCATACTAAAAACACGCTCTTTTAATACACGACCATAAAAAACATTCGATTTGCTCATTATCACTTAACCATTTTGACGAAAAAATGTTTTTAATGATTCCCCGGGACATTAGTGAGGGAAAAGATCTAAGTTGGCATTTTCAATTGCCCAACAGCACAGGTAGACAGCATCTCAGGTCAAAAATGTCCCGTATATTACAGTAACTTGCATTTCACATATTGCCAATGAGCAATGTGATATTAAGCATTGTGTGAATCCGTCTCGGCAAAACTTGCGAGTCGAGTTAGAAAAAAGTGAATCTGTTCGAATAGATCGATATCGGCGGTTACAAAATCATCAAATTGTTTTCCGTGTCACCTGTGGTATGATGGTGATAGTGGACCTGAGGTCATGCAGTCCCAGCTTTTTAATGTCCAGACCATCTATGGTGATACTGCCTTTGCTGTTCTCCACTATTCGGAAGAGGGAGATGGTCATTGTACTCTTTCCACTGCCTGTCCTGCCCACAATTCCAACCTAAACGTCAACAGACAAAACATACGGTTTTATTCCCAGAACTAGAGAGCTGCATTAGTATTAGGTGATCAAAAGCGCACTTAGATCTGTTAGGTATTTTTTGCTCCTATGGGGTACGTAGTAAGGAATTGCCACCCTCTAAACTCATCGGTTCAAATGTGAATTTGCTACCTTGTAATAAACCCCCCATTCTGCAATAAGGGAGGGGGGTGTAGTTTAAGATCCGCCAATTCACTTGTTTGCCCTATCAGTAATCACTGGTCATTTCAATCCCATATTCAGATATTATACTATTGTTTGTCTACTTTGACTCCTAAGTGCGATAACGTTCAATGGATGCATTGATAAATTGTTCGTAGCTAAAAATCAGTTCGAAGCTCGAAAAAATATCAACTTCTCTAACATCCATTACTTGCAATACGCTTTACATACAATTGCTTCTACAAATGAAAAACCGGTTTTATTGCATTGTCCTTCTCACTCACTCTCTCGGATGGATTGAAGGTGCACGTGATATCTTTGAGGGCGGGTGCTAGGTCCTCTCTGTACTTGACCTCCAGATTGTTGACCTCTATCTTGCCCTCCTTCGGCCACCCCTCAGGCATCACACCCGCCTCGCTCTCCCACTTGGCCTGGGAAAAGATACACAATATAACCAACAAACAGTTGAAAAAGTGTCAATTGACTAAAGAATTCCAAGAAAAAGATTGATTTCAACTCCTGGTATTTTTGATGCGAACTTTAGTACCTCCTTTAAGAATCTAATACTTTGGACTTGCTTGTTATTATTCGTCTGGAAACTATCCCCAGCTTCGAAATTTCTTCATCAAAATTCATCTTAGCACCAACAAAAACATGCGCTGGCTTTAATACCAAATTACAAACCAAACACTTGAATTCATCAGATGAATTAAACTGATTACTACAATGTATTAAAGGGACTTTTTTCCGCCTCCTGGTCTGATATTGGATCAAGATGACTTCAAAACTGAAATGAAACAAGACAAGTGAAGTAATGGTAAGTAGTTTTTTATACCTCTGGTTTGAGTTTGCAGTACTCTCTGATACGCTCCACAGCCACGATGTTGCTTTCCACTTCCGACCACATTCGACAGAGCCAGTTAAGCACCTGCGAGCACTGAAACAACCAAGGAAATATTAGTTAGCGGCCTATCGCATGATACAATGTGAAACAAAACATTTCAACCGACAGTTGAAGGAAACCGGAAGAAAAAGAACTGATCTATTTTTCAAAGTTTCAAATTTCCAAAAAAAAGTATTTAACTTTGCTTTTTGAACCTCAAACGTTTTTCGATAATGAAATTTTTAGATAAAACTAAGCAATTTGAAAAAAGTGGATTATGAGATAAGTTTTTTAATCCACTGGCAATTCAAACAATGAAACTCTTTTTAAAACTATAACTCATTCACGTTTTTTGCACTATTTTCACTTATGTTCTCGTAGAGTGTAATTTTCCTTCAATATGGCTTACAAATTTAAAACGAATTTCCAAAAAACCCAAGCCGCCAAAACGAGATCGAGCGCAAAATTTTTTTGTCCGATTAAAATAAGCTTTCAAAACAAAAAAATTGATGACTACGTGACTTAAAACAAAGAGGCGAAGCTGCACTTTGCAAAATGCGAGCAAGAAAACGACAAAAAGCAGCTCTACAAAGTGAATTAAGAAAGTAGAATGCCTCGGACTAGTAAATTTTTTTAAGGTTTGTTTTCGATCCGGCGAGTTCGAGATTGTGTGTCTCACGTTCACGCATCTGCACAAACTAATGAAGCGTGAATAACACTATCCACCAATAAAACAGCTACAGATGCTGATAAATTGCCAATGCTACGCAGCAAAAATACCACCAAATATATAAACACAACTAAGGCTAAGAGCGGCTTCCATCTGGGCCACGGTCGCTTAACGATCGACAACCATTAGCCACAAATAAAGCAGAGAACAGATGCTACGAAATCTCCAATGCTACAGATCGTAATTATAGCAAAAGTGCCACCAAATGAGCACTTTTATTTGCGAGTTAGGCTGGGAAAAAATAGGGTCATACTAATACACTACGCTTGCTAGTGTAATCAATTGACTGAAAATGCAACTGATGTAGTGTATGTGAAAGTGAAAACCGACCGATATGGCGTAAGTGAATGCGACTCCAGCATTGCCAGCTGACACTCCCTCGCGGAAGAAGACGAGAATGAGGGCGGTGGAGAAGACGATACCTGTGCCTATGCACTCCAGACGCACAGCCAGCCACCTGAACATAACATTATACGAGCAACAGATAATGGAATTTTTAAGCACAATAACCAGGTCGATTCATTCCTAGTTACACTTTTTCACAGTTAGACTTCCTTTCAGAGCTTTCGTTTGGTTTTCATTTTTACTTTTCACTCTACATCTTCAGATCAATTTTTGGCAATACTTTTATCATAATTGATTAGAAACTAAACGAACTTTTTTTTTATCAGAAGCTAATTTAACGCATTTAGGGGTGGTGGTGGTGAGGGGTGTTGTAACTTTGACAATAACTCAGCCAACATTTGATTTAAAAATAAAATAAAATGACGGTTGTATTTACAGAGTATATACCGTTGAAAACAACATGAGGGGTTGGAGACAGCGAAGTGAAAACTGTAGACTGACCTGTTTATAACCATGTTGCCAAAAGTGGTCCTCACCAACTTATCCACCAATTCCTCATTCTTCCCTATGAAGTAGTCGCTCATCTGGTAAGCTCTAATGTCTGTCAACCCCTGAAGAGTTTCCCCAAAGTTGGAGTAAAGCGGAGACTTCCACATGGATTCTATGCGCTTTATCTGACGAGAGGTGGCTACGTAGAATTTCTAAAAAAAAAGCATTGAAGTCATAAACGAAAAACAGTCATTTGGCTAATTTTAAAGCTGAAAGATAAAGGAAACAAAAAACATAGCCAATGGACAGTTCGGATACAAAGAATTGCTCCTTTCGAAAGAAAAAAATCACGACCTAAACAAGTATGATGACTAACTTTATTCATTAAAACTTGAACAGTTTCACATAAGTAATCCACATGTCCTTTAGCTCAGCGAAACTTTTTATGAACGACATCAAGAGTAGACTTTGATTAACTCACTAGTACTGCAACATAGACTATGACTAGTGGCACGAGCACTGCTAGGAAGGCTGGTATGGCCATGGATATGGCGAAGATAGTGGTCATGACCACCAGGATGCACTGCATGAACGTCTTGATGATACCGGTGAGCACATTGTCCACCACGTCTATGTCCTTGCTCAGTCTACGACACAACAGCAAAAAGGATGAACAATAGACACAGACAGCTGAAAAAACGTCAATGAACAGAGAAAACCAGTAAATTGAAAAAAAAATCGACTTCTTTATGGATGAAGTAAAATGATTTATTTTGAAAAAACTATATGTCCTAAGTGTCTTCACTTCGTTCATTCATACAAAAAAAACAGGAGAATATTTAGAATATACTTTAAGACTGGCGAAATAAACTATGATAAAACATGGTATGTCAAAAAACAGCTTGGATCAGCCTAAAGGTGTAAGATATCAGCATGTGAGTCGATTAGCATGGCCAGGAACAAGAATTTACTTGACTTGCTCCCTCTTTCAAGATTTGTTTACTTAAATTTGCAACTTTAATAAGCATGCAACTCGCCAAAAATTTATTTCGGTGAAAAAGAAATTTGAATTCCTGAACATAGAAGTGATTTTAAAAATTATTCGAAAAACTAAATCTATTAAAAGCAGTTATCTCATGCCAATATGCACACATGCTTATTGATACGCCCAATAACAGAAATTCTGCCTAGGAGATGGTCTGATATGTATGTTTACATTTGTGAAGGTTCTACGAAAAAAAAATAATCTGAAAAGTTTACATTTGTAATATATCAACTGAAAACTACGTCTAAAATATTAAAACTTTTAAGATATTTATTCAAAGAGATCTAATAAAAAACAAGTCAAAAATGTATAAAATTTGTAAGAGATTTTTTCAACAGGTCGCCTGAAAGTTACAAACATTTGCCTATGAGCAGGCGATAAAAGCTCGAATTATGTGTTCATTCGACGCACAAAAAATTACTCTTTTACATGGGCATGCTAATTGGAACGCATGCTAATAGGCTGTTTCCCGTCTGAAACGCTTTTATTTTCCGACAGCAGATTATTTGAAAGATTCAAATAACTTTTAAAAAAATAACCTGAAGTAGGTTAAAGTTTTGAAGTTCAGCAATTGGAATCATTAAATTAAGATGATCATTTAAATCATGGCCAAAACAACATGGAGAAATTTCATTGAATTCAGGGTACCCGACCCAAAAAAATGTCTTTTTTGAACATTTTTGTTCCGACCATTGAAAATGGGGAGGAACTTTGTATTTGTACGGAGTAAACTTTGTGTTTTACTTCTTTTCTTTGCAAAATCAGGTACCACAAAAATAAATGGAATGGGTTGAGATATATATTATATTAAAGCCATTTCAGACGTGATTCGTATGACCTAGAATTTTTTTGAAAAGTTAACCAAGTATAGAGAAAAACAGGTTTAAAAACTTTGATTTTTAGTTTTAATTCGAGTGATTGAGTTAGGACTGGAGTGTATAACTCATAGAGTAATTTCGGATAGGGTACACCGTCTGCTCGTCACGCTATCTTATTTTCGGCCGGATAGATTCGTGCAACTTCTTAGTCTAATACCGATCCTAATCTTACTCTTATACTATCTAGTCTCAGGTTGTTTAACTAGTCTCTGCTAGGCTCAATAGATCTAGGGTATACTGGTTTATTGCGGCTGCTGAAGTGCTCGGGAGAGTCCAACTAATTTCTAAGTTAAATTCAAATCTCTCTGGTGCTGAAATTACAAGTAACTTCAGCACTTACAAATAAGTGGGTTGTTAGTTAGATGGATCATGATTGGTTAATATTAAATACTTTACATTGGTAAAATATCTAATTTATCCAATCATAAAATGTAGTTTAGATCAGGTTCCATGATTAAAGCGAGCGAGCAGACATAAAAATTTTTTATGCTTAATTTAAGCTGTGAAAATTTAGTTCTACTTGAGCAAAGTTTTTTTTGAAATTTTTTCAGCGCCAAATTCAAAAACTAAAAAAAACGAAGAAAAAAATTTTGGTGATTTTTTTTGTTTTTCAAGTCATTTTTCTTTGTTTAGCTGGAAAAAATCTTCACTTTTTTTAATTGGAGAGCGTAATTTGCCTTTCTTGTAAAATTAATTTGAATTGAACTTTTAAAGAAATCAAATGAAAACCGCGAAAAATGAAATTTGAGCGTAATTAAACCAGAAAAAAAATCACACAGCCTAAAGAAGTGTTTATTTATTGAAACTTGAAATTGTATCGAATTCTAGACTTTCTGTGTTTAACTAGAACTTATGCCTCAAGCTCACTCGAAAATTCTAATTAGTGTGCATAATTTCATAGTTGAATTAGCGAAAATCTGGTTTAACCATTTGTTTTTGTTTGCAACTCGGTCAGATGCTTGTGGATTAAAAATAATTTTTCACCTGTTTGTGATTCTGCCAAGTGGAGTTGTTTCGAAGAACGAGAGTGGCGACCTGAGCACTCCATGTAACATGTCTTTGTGCAGAGTGATTGAAGACCGCTTGTTGCCCTCAGCAAATGTGATCGCATTGGCAACCACTATCACTCCTGAAAATGGAACTGTAATCAATCTAGCTAACAAACATTCGCAAAAGTACCAAAGAACTCAAAGAGACCGAAAAAAACGACTGGCTTCGATAGAAAATTTCTAACTTTCGGATTTCAAAGAAGAAAATATTTATCACCTTAAAAGTCTTTTAATTTCGAGATGAGTTTGAAATCAAAACTATCTCTTTCGAGTCCGCAAACTATATCTCAACCATATCTATACATTATTAGCCGTAGCTGTGATCTCTGACAACCCATGGTTGAAATCGATACAAATTCATTAATTTGCGGTTCAAAAGGCGAGAAGCGTCAATTGCCTGAGTTTTGCTAGCTGTCAACCATAAGTGGATTGGATTTTTTTATTTTCGAACTTAAGAACACTTAAGAAACTTAAGAATTATTAAGCGCTTTGCAGAAGAATAAACGGTGCCATAATTGTATAAGCATGTACTGAACTACTAAATACGGACGTACCAAATAGCATTCCAATGAAACCGTACACCATCAACCCCCAGAAATTCTCATCTGCTAACTGGTCGTTCCTCATTTCCAAAGTATAATTTCCCTCCTCCCCCTCCTGGCCAATGACTCGAGCCATGATAGCCTGAGTGTTGTCTGACCACCTAGCGACCCACATCATGCTGACATAAGTGAACAGCTGGATAACGATTAGACCTGCCACGCCTAGAAAACTGACGAGGTAGCCTAAAGAGCGCCAGTATTGCATGTACACATTGATGCTCACCTGAAACAAAAATATAAAATGCTATGAAAATATAAAGAATCTATAAGACTGGATAACTACCAAAAAACAACATGTAGCTCTTTACCAGAGCCATTAACCTTGCACAGAGCCGAAACAAGTCTTTTTATTTATTCCGCCCAAAACTCTTAATTTTGCAATTTTAAATGTATAAACGCAGAGAACAAAACACTGATTGCACTGATTGGTTTGGTTATTACAAATGCAAGCCTTTTCTTGCCGATTTCTAAAAAGTTTGAGTAGAGCAGATGGATGTGAATGTAGTAATTTTTTCCTGGACTTAATTTCTGTGATTTTTTTCTTGTCTGCGTAAAATTCTGCAGCTTATTTGAAAAATATTTTAATAGTTTACCAAGCAATCTACGTTTTCGGCTAATTCATAACTCGACTTAAAATTGTGATTAAAAACTTTTTTTATGAGGCTGAAATTTGTGGCTAATTTTAGCAAATCAGATTGAAGCAAAAATAGTTTAAGTTCATGACGTTGAAATATCGATTTTTGGACGGAATAAGTAAAAAGACCCAAACTCACAATAAATATTGATGTGCAGTCAGCATTAGATTTTATAATTTATTACACAACAAAAGAATCATAATTTCTAATTATGGATGCTAAGCTAATAGTTTTTTCGCTTAAACTTTTTTAGTATTAATTGCCCTGCCGTGTTACTTAACAAGGAACAACGAAAGCGTTTCCTTGTTTTACAATATAAAATTATATAAAATGGTGGCCAGTCAATCAGCAGAATGTTTTAAGAGCAGAAAGAGTATAAGAGCAGAAAAACAGAATAATGTTAAATTATACGGGTTAAGTGAAAGAACATTTATTAAAACGTAAAATCTAACAAAGAAATGAACCATTTAAACATGAATTGAGTTAAATTAATCACGTTTTTTATTGTGTGCTGAAAAAATCTTGATCACATTACTCAAACTATTCATATTAAATTCGTGTTTTGTTTTCGGTAAAATTGACATAATTTCTTATATTTTAGTTTTTCTGCTCTTGGATCCATTCTGCTCTTTGACCAGTCTCCTTATTAATCCGCCTTCATACAAAATACCTGTAACTCCTAGCTATCGTAACCCTTAATCCTGAAAACGAGGACCGCATTAGACTTACTTCACGATCTCGGGCAAAAACTTTTGAACCTTTCTTTAACTCTTTGCTTTAAACCTTTCTAGAGAAAAAGCTCTCCTACAAAACCATGCTAAAGAGAAACTGAGAACACATAGAAAATCATGTTTTTTACCTTGACCTGGATTGTAAATAAGCTACTACAGGAGGACTGTGGCTTCATCTTCAGTTTAAACAGAGCCAACAGACAGTTGGAAAAGAGTCAATGCACGCAAGTAAACAGAAAAAACACTGATTTGTTCATTGGAAAGTTCTCAACTTTCGAATTTCCACCAAAACAAATAGTTGCCTTAAAGCTCTTGGAATTTCTAGAACAACTTATGATTAACAATTTTTTTTGATAAAATAAACCTAATTAGAAAAAAGGGGGATCAATAGATAAAAATTTTATTTCGGTGGGAAATCCGATAACTGAACTCCATTTTCTAAGTTCGAAGTCGATCACGTTTATCTTGACCTTTACACTTTTGCTGTTCGATAGTGCAGTTTGCCTTCCTTTTTAGAAAGGAAATGACTTCACTTAAAAAGAAATCAAAGGTCAAATCGCAAAAAAATTTAGACCCTGGACAAACTTTAGGGACTTCCCCCCCCCCCAAAAAAAAAACGATAAAAAATATAAATCATCGCGACCTATATACAAATCTGAACTACATTCATCGACTCTCAATAAATTTCGACTATTAAGATCCCCATTTCGACTTTGGAAGAAACTGCGGAATATTTATGATTGGGTGGTTTTTTTTTTATTTAGTCAATTTTGGACTTGTTTTTTAAACGTTTTGACAAAATTTACTGGAATCTTTTGAAAGATATAGTTGTCTGAAACTCATACTATAGTTTTTTTCAATTTTGATGAATTTCTAGTAAAGTTATAATAGTATGTGGTTACTTTGTCAAATATAATTCCAAGAATAACTAACGTGCGATATTTGTCGTTCAGTCAAAGCGAAGCGACCAGTTAACCGGCTCATAAATTGTTCCAATTTTATATGAGGCAAGCTTTTTGAAACCATTAATGTATCAATGCTTTGCTAGATGCTACTGGGGAAATAATTGCTTTCAATTTTTTAAAGTTTGATCAAATTCGTAGAAGTATTACTTATTCCTTGAACCTTAAGGATCAATCGGAACATTCAAGGTTTTGATCTGATAAGCGCAGTATTGTAAGTTTCTTTTCCCGTTCAGATTTTGTTTAGTTTTGGTGTGGTTTTGACCAATCAGAATTCAGCATTTTATTTGTCTACTTGATAGCGAGAATGAATGAAACAACGACTGGCTGATTAAAGATCGCACTCCATGTTTAACAAAAAAATTTTAAACGTTTTTTCAATCGAATCGGGGTCATGACTCTTTCAATCGGATAAAAAATTCCATTCGCCATTTAAGTGCTGACAGAAGTCGAAATACGGCAAGAGTGCAAAAACGACACTTGGAACACCTCTTCGAAAAAATTTCAAAAAAAAAAACAAGAATCAGTCATACTTACATGTCCGCTCTCCACTGTTTCCGTGGTCATCAGCTTCTTCCCCGCTGAATCCTTCTTCTTCTCTTTAGAGTCAACCTGAATAACCTCAATGTAGTTTAAATGAAAAAGGATCTTGTTAACTATTCCCTATTTGATTACCAAATTTCGATGTTTTAAAAAATGATCACAATCATAACTAATTAAAACTTTATAATTTGGCTATTCAAATTGTACTGACTTGATTCTGACTTGACTTTATCAAAAATGACTGACTTGTTTAATGAATTTCAAAGAAAAAAATCTATGGCCTTAAGCAGAGGCGGATTTTAAAAAAATTTGGTTTTCTGAGCTCTCCCAAACCACCATAAAGACCCCATTTTGACCAAAATTAAGTCAAACCGCAAAATATCAAAATTTGCGAGATCAAACTTTTCCTGAGAAAAATCAACGCTAATTATATAAGTGCCTCAACGGCGTTCATTGACACTTTAATAATCAACCATCTCCAAAAACCAATCAATCAGGAAGATTTAAATGATGCAAGATACTTATGCCTGAATTTCTAAATTAGAACGAAATTATATTGCCGTTTGGGAGTAGTCGTTGAAAATTCCCCAATAAACCAACACGAATGGATTGCTAAACAAAATTTTCATAGCAAGATTTAACAGACCTCTTTGTCCTCTTCTCCTGCTTCAATATCGTCTGCAGCGATGACGTCATCGTCGCCTTCTGTTTCCGTCTTTCTTTCCACTTGCTGGTGCATGTTGTCTATCTCAATCTCCTTCATCTCTTCGGCCACCTCAGCCGAGGTCAAATCAACTGCAAACCATTATCAGTACATAAAGAAGGACACTGGAAAAACGAATATAGCCAATAGACAGTTTGCAAAATCACAGACAAAAAAAAATATTTTTGTTCCAACCACTTCCTGGGGTCATAAAAAAGTCGCGGAGGAGAGCAAAAAATCATTAGCGATGGCTTAGTTTTTTTCTTCCCAATTCGACTACCTGAACAAAAGCTTGTGAAGGGTCAAGTAGGCAATCCTATTGAAGCCCTTGTAGCCGTGATTTAGACTCCAAAATAAAAATTCAGAAAGGTTTACTGTGTCGAGAAAAATTGAGCTGAATCGAATTTCAGACTTTTTGGTATTCTAAATGTCAACTTCTCTTTTTAAGTCATTAATCCAATACTGCAAAACAGGGGCGGATTTAGGGCAATTGTTTGTGCATTTGCCCATCAACTTACTTTTAAAAATGTGCTCAATTTGAATTGCTTTGGCCAAAATCAGCTCATGCGACAGCCTAGATTGAATTCAGCGTTTGAAAACAAACAGTGAACATAATGCAAACAGTGAGACAAACGCTGATTTTTCTGAGCCAGAAGCTAGTTTTGGCCAATTTTGTTTTTGAATGATGTCCAATTAATTTACACGTGTGCAAGCTGCATTGAGGATCGTTGCAACTCAGATTGGCTGATTGCAGATGTGAGTGCCTCACCACGATTTTGCTCAAATTAATGCGAGGGTCATTATTTTTTAATGCTGCATCTTTTAAACTTCTTTTTGATGTATTCTACGCCATCGCTACAAAATTGCTTGGAACATAATTGAATTACTTGTGCTTTAGGACAAATTGAAAAATGAACTGAAACATAGCCACTAGACAGTTAGAAAGTTAAAAGTCAATGAACGCTAGAAAACAGGAAAAACTGATTTAAAAAAAGCCTTCAAACTCTTTTAATTTCAAGAGTAAATAATTAACACTTTTGATAAAGATTAACTCAATTTGAGAAAACAGGATCAATAGGTAAAGTTTTTATTCCGCAGGAAAATCTGAACACTGAAGTCCATTTTTGATGCTAAAAATCATTCAATTTTTCCTGACATTTTCACGTTTGCCGTTCGATAGTGAAGTTTGCTTTCGTTCAACAAAGCTACAAAAAATCCACTAAGCTTCAAAAAATCAAATCAAACCGCAAAGTTGAGCGTGAACAAATTTTAACACTTGAAAAAAAAATCATCACGACCTATATAAGGGTATTCACTACGCTCATCTCTTAAAAATAAACAATGGTCCCGATTTCTGTCCACTCGTGGTCTCATTTCTTTGCGACTTGAGATTTAAATAGTATGTCTAATAAATTATACAGAGACGAAGTTGTACTTTGCAAACACAAGCGGAAAAATGCCGAAAATGGCATTAACGAGTTTTGAAAAATAAGGAAAAATTATGTATTGAACGTCAATCCTCGGACATTTTATCTTTCCAGGTAATGCCCTACTCAATTAGGCCACTGACGCTCATCGAAACCAAAAACAAGCTAAAAAGCGGCAAAAAAGCTTCAACATTTTCAAAAAGCAAATTTTCTATTAAATAACACCTTAATTAGCACCCAATAACACATTATTAGTTAACTTAACCGACCCCATTAACTTTGCAAGAAAAAGCGGAAAGTATTTGGCCAAATTTTGCATAAATTAATAGATTTCAAAATATTTCCTAACATTTTTTTTCTTTCCTCTTTCTTATAAAAAAAGACCAAGAAAAACAAGTTATACGACTATTTTATAGCATGTAAATACCGTGAATAGAAAGATTTGGACACGTGGGAACTGTTAGGGATATCTACCATAACCTCGCTATAAATAAGAATGAATCATAATAGCTTTCCTAGAAAAATCTAATTCTTGAGTTATTTCATCAAAAAAATTTGTCAACAAGAAAAAACTATTTCTCATGAGCCATTACTACAGGTTGCGTTTAATGCGCTTTAATTGAGTTAATATAGCTCATTTTATTTCAAATCGGAAAATTTATATTAAATAACTCTGATACTCAACGGCACAGAAATGGGTGGGTTAGATAGGTAAAAAAAGGTCGCTCGCCGTTGAGTATCAGAGTAATTTCATATAAATTTTCCGATTTGAAATAAAATGAGCTATATCAACTCAATTAAAGCGCATTCAACGCAAACTGTAGTAATGGTTCATGAGAAACAGTTTTTTCCTGTTAACAAATTTTTTTTGATGAAATAACTCAAGAATTAGATTTTTCTAGGAAAGCTATTATGATTCATTCTTATTTACAACGAGGTTAGGGTAGATATCCCTAACAATTCCCACGTTGTCCAAATCTTTCTATTCACGGTTTTTACATGCTATAAAATATTTGTATAACTTGTTTTTCTTGGTCTTTTTATAAGAAAGAGGAAAGAAAAAAAAATGTCAGGGAATATTTTGAAATCTATAATTTATACAAAATTTTTAGACGAGCGACCATTTTTTTCCTAAAAAGCAGAGTTATTATCATTCGCACCCTGACCAGCGTGCCTACTCGAAGTGATTTGATAGTTAGTGGTAATAATAATTTTCCTAGTGCATCACAATGTGCTTTTTTTATCAGTCTCCCGCCCAGCTCCCACTCCGTTCTACATTGAGAGATACCAACTAATTTGCCGCAGCCGGTCCCACCTTGAGGAGGGGTTGACACTGAGACCCCTCCAGCCTTGACTGAGATTCGAAAACACGACGTTTGTGTTCAAGACCGCGCGTCTCACCCACTCAGTCAAGGCTGCTCCTAACAATTTGTGCTCATAACCTTTTTCAAAGAGCCGTGATCAAGCGACACGAAAATGACAATTGTAGTCACTTATATTAGACTTGAGACCGATCCTATAAAAAATTTCAAATCCAAACTCACCTAAACTCTTCTGAGATGCTCCGAAAATCCTACTGGCTCGTTCTAACAGTCCTTCTACTTTTCCAACATCACCTTCATTCTCGTCATCCAAACTGTCTCCTTTTTTCGTCCCCTGCTCAGCACTTTTCAAGGACACCGAATCCTCAGCTTTGCCCTCTCTTCCATCTTTGACATTCTCACAACCCTCTTCCATTTGCTGTTGGTTCAAATGAACTTTACAGAGTTGTTTGAACGATAATTCGTCTTCTGTGTCCTTGTCTAGCAGTTCGCAATATGTACCTTTTTCTTTGATTTGGCCGTCTTGTAAATTGATAATTTGGTCTGTTTCGCTGAGAAGGTGAAGTTTGTTTGTTACCAGAAGTCGAGTCTAAAATCGATTTTTGGTTCATTTTGAAATTTAACCGCCAATTTTCTTAAAGAAGCTTCTTAACTTAAAGAAGCTTCTTTAAGAAAGAATTTTCTTAACGAATTTTCTTAAAGAATTTTCTTAACCGCCAATTTTCTTTAAAAGCTTCCTTCATAACGGCAAGTATTACAAAAATGCCCCATGCTGGGTATTTTTTGCAGGATCTTAATCCGAGAATTTTAATGTTCTTTGAGCTTCCACAAAAAATTCACTATGAAAGTGAATTTTGACACACAAATCCAGACGCTCGACTACTTCGAAAAAGTTTCAAGCATGGAGGGGTTGTGTCTTTCTATAAAAAATTCCCCTGTCCTTTTTTTGCACTTTTGTTCCGATCACGTCACTGAAACTGACGGCAAAGAACGATAACTTACAGTGAGATTTTTCGACCGATTTTATCTACCGCAAAGAAAGTCCGTAACCAAAATGAAAAAAAAAGGAAATTATACCAAACAGGAGTTGGTAAAATTGAAACCAACATTAAAAAAATAATAATGAATAGAAATGGGTATTTGATAAATTTAATTACCAAAGAGCAAAATTGAGAAAATTATTCTAGCGCAAGCATAATAAACGCATGCCTAATAATTATGTGCACATTAGTAGATGGATTAAAAAGTTTAACAAAAAAAATTTAAAAAAATTTTTTTTTTCAGTAAAACAGTCGTTTATTAAAAAGTTTTAATTAAAAAATCTGTTAAAAACCATAACTAAAAGTCCTCAAGGAAAAGAAAACATTTAGCTCAATAGATTTTACCAATGCAACTTTAGAAATAACGTTCAAAAATTTAGAACAAAACTGAACCTTCAAAAGGAGTCGGGCTGCGGAAGCCACGCCGACAAAAATAAACAGACGAGCAGGAGTCCGAAAAAGCATAAAATTTAAAGTTGGCAAAAAAAACATTCCGACCGGATGCGAAAAACGAACCTTTGTCGTCTCAAGCAGGTGAGTTACCTCTGAGCTGAATGCGTTGGATGGTTGCAAGAATTTGAATTCATTATGAAAAAACTTGAAACACGTGTAACTTTTTCTTATGCGAAAAATTCTTTACGGGGAAAAAGTCTAGTACTCTGTTGCAACACCTTCGCGTATCGAAAGGGTACATAGCAGAAAGTACATCAAATTTCAACCAAAAATCAAAGAAGAACAAGGATAGCCGAATGGCGCAAGTAGCACATAATGTTTCGACCACATTCATAAATTCTTCTTGAAACTAGTGTCAATTATATGCGTGGTGTGACAAAAAAGCTATACGAACGCTCAGAAATGTAGTGATTTATACATAGCAGACAACTGTTGTCTTGCGAAACTGAAAGAAAAGACAAGAAAATTCAGAAAAACTAGCAGGCCCACTGCAGCTAAATCTGCTCCTAAAAATGGCAACGTTTTCCTGTAAAAGTAAAATAGGTTGGATGAATCGATATTAAGCTGACTGTAGGGCTCCCAGGATGGATGAACGATTGGTTGAGTGCGCTTGATGGATTGCAGTCTGGCTAGATGCAATGATGGCTGACTGAATAGCTAGACGGATAAATGGCTGCATGGGTGATAGCGGGATGGAGGGACGACTGAATAGATGAATCGCTTGTTGGATATAGATATGGTTAACTAGATGAATGTCTATACCGATTATGGATGACTGGTTGGATGGATAGATGGATGTATGACTAGATCGATGATGAAAGACTGAATTGATAACTGGCTGAATTTGTGAATGGATTGCCAGATGATTCATGGCTGACTGAGATTGGTGGATCGTTGGATGGATGGATAGATTGCAAGATAGGGTGAAGGCTATGTTGATAGCTGAATGGCTGGTTGACTGTATGGATGCGTGGCTGAATGGCTTGATCGATGTATGGCTAGATGAATGGATGACTTCAATGGATGCGTGTTTAGCCGGAGAAATAAGCGAATGGATGGCTAAATGCTGGTTGGAGTAATGCATGGCTTGAGGGATAGATGATTTGGTGGATGGCTGGTTAGTTTCATGATTGGTTAGTTGGATGATAAAATAGACGGTTGGCTGGATTGCTTGATGACTGGTTCAAGGGATGGATGGCTGCTCAAATGAATGGGTGGTTGGAGGTATGGATGGCGATATGAATGGAAGACTAGTGGATTGATGGATAGATAAATGGTTTGATTAATGGCTTGTTTGAGAGAGAATCGGACGAATGAAAGGCGAGACAGAAGGCTGGATAGCAGTATAGATGGATGGACGACTGTTTGGTTATCTGACTGTATAAAATGCGCGATAAATGGATCGCTGGTTGGATGATGCGATGGCAAGCTGATTCGATAATCGATTAATGGACAAAAGATAGATGGATGGCAGGTTGTTGAATAGATGGCTGGATGTATGAATGGTTGGACCGTTGGTTGGATTACTTTTATAATGAAAGAAAAGATTGATGGATGGGCTGCTAGATGGATGGTTGTTTAAATCGATGAAAGGGTAGATGGATGGATGGCTACATAGACGAATGGTTTGGTAGATGAAAGGCTTGAAGGATCAAAGGCAAGATGGATGAAGGAATGGATAGCTTAATGCATGGAGGGATGAATGAATGGATGGATGGCTTGTTGTATGTATGAATAGATGACCTGATGGGTGGATGAATCGCTTGATGAATAATTTGACGGATGAATGAAAGGCTACATATTTGAATGGATGGCTGCTGGGATAGATGGATGGCTGTTGGGATAGATGGATGGCTATGTGAATGGTTCGATTTATGAATAATTGGCTGGTTGGACGAATGGATTGATGACTCATTGGATCGATGGCTTGATGAAAGGTTGACTGCTTGGATGAATCGCTTGACTCTTGGATGGCGTGGGGATGCAGATTGATCGCAGTATGAATGACTTTATCGACTGATGGCTTGATTAATATATGGTTGGATCGATGGCTGGATCGACCGCTTAAAGCATGGAGGGATGAAAAAATGGATGGACGGCTGGTTGTATGGATGGATTGATGCATGAAAGAATGGATGGCTAGATGAAAGAATGGATGATCCGGATAGATTAAAAAATGGTCCGAATAATGAATTGGCTGGTTGGATGAAATGATGTCTGATTGGACGGATTGCTTGATGGATGGAAAGGCGGATCGATGGCTTGATGAATGTATGAGTAATTAATGGATGGATTCAGGGATTGATGGTTGGATGGACAAACCGCTAGATGAAAGGAAAAGCTAGATGGGTGGATGGCTTGCTGGGGAAGATCGATCATTAAATGAATGGATGGCTGAATGGCTCGATGGATGAATGAATTGCTGGTTGATTTATGCTGAGACGAGTAAAACGATCTGAGCAGTCATTTATTTTGGAGGTGTGCAACTCCTGAGAGTAACTTGACATCGCCCCGCTATAGGGACCAGGCTAATAATATGAATTAAAAAACAGAAATATCAAAACAGCCAATACTCGAAAACTAAACAAATTTAAGCAATCATGCCTATTTAGGCCATATCTCCAACTGCTGAGAGTACCCTGACACAACCCAAACAAAGAGTCGAGAAATTTGAAAGTTTTTTTTTGAAATTCAGATCCTTTGAAAGGTTTGAGAAATCTTAATAAGCTTTATCTTGAAAACTAAAAAGCATCGAACAGTTAGATTTGAGAAAACCTTCAACATGAACATACTTAGATAACTTTGACAAAACCCCACCCTATAGTTGAGAGTTTAAAACTACGTGAATTGTTTTTACACATTCATTTGGAACACTTTTAATAAATAAAAAACGGTATATCTCAGAAACTGAAAAATTTTGAGCAACCATATTTGCATGCAAAAACGAATCTACGGCTATTAAGCTTAAACACCGAACTATAAGGTTGGGATTTTCAAAATTCAGGACGTTTTAGAAATCTAATTATATTTGGAAACTTCTTCAAAAAAATCATGCAAAAACTTCAGATCTCAGAAACTAGGTTTTGAGTAGTCATAACTGCGGGTTAAGATTGAAAATCTTGAGAGTACTTTGACAACATTCAACTATACGGGAGAGAATTTCAAATTTTTGGAAATTTTCAAAATCTAAGGTTTTAAAAATTTATAAAAAAATTATCAAAAAATTTTGAAGCCCTAGGTAAAACCCTGACAGCACCTTCAACACAGAGGTGAAGTTGCACTTCACTACAAAAGCAAAAATATGACCGATAACGCTACTGGGAAAACTGAATGAGTAAAACTTCGAGTCTTCAAAACTTCTTAAGTGACGTGAGCCAATTATGACGCATTAGCAGTACCAGTCAAATTGAAAACAAAGAAAATTACCAACTGACATGCCTCAATTTATAGAGCAGTTTAGGGAGCAGTAAAAACATGAAAAAAAATGGAAGTTAGGAAAATAATTTTTTTTTTAATTTGAGATTTTTTGTGAAACACGCCATATTAAGTACAAAGTGATACATTTCGCTTCTAGTAACAAATCAATTATGGCAAATAAGCTTCTTTCAACCAATATGGAACTATTTCAATGACGGAGAAAATCTCCGCTTCCGCGTTAATAGCTCAAAATATGGCAATTTTTAAACTCCCATAATTTTACGAAAAATCACAAGTAAAATATCTTTCCAAATTTAGGCTCAGAACAACAATACTTTTTTAATGATATAACAAAAACCGTCAAAAATGGCTGGTTAAAAAAAGCAAAGTTTGACTGAAAAAAAACCATCCCGACAAATAATCCGTTACTTTCGTTACGAAACAATCATAGTCTGTGTTAAAATCCTTAGCATTGACTGTACTTTATAGCTGGTAATTGAACAAAATGAACACTTTCAGAATGAACAAACTTTATCGCAAAATTATTTGCGTCGCAACAATATTTGCGACTTAGGTAGGGGAAAAAGATAGTTCATACTATAACACAAGAATTGCTTGTTGAAATATACTACAAGGATTTCAAACCTGACGAAATGAACGCAAAAACGAAATAGAAACCTGTTACATAATGTACAGAATGATGAATTCAACCATGGAACAACATTTCAATCAGCACTCCGCTGCCCTCCACCTTCGTTTACACACTGGTATCCTAGTTTCAACCTTAAATTCAGGTCTTTCAATTGGTTAAGCAGACAGGAAAATAAAAAAACTTGTCAAGCATTGCAAGATATGATATAGTTTCAACGAGCAACAATTCTTGCGTAAACATGAACTAATTAAAATTCTTAACCATAGTGAATTACGTGTCACACCCGGGAGACGAATCGGAGCTTCGCATCACTTATCATGCCACGAAAAAGCACAAAAATAGCCACAAGCTAGCAGACAGAAAAGGAAGCAAGTAAGTCCAAAGAAAACGGAAACTTTTTCGAAGGAACTACAACTTAACACCTTCAAAAAATTGCCCAGAATGATGTTCTATTTGCGAAAAACACGTCCAGAAACAAATTCAACGGCGTTTAATGATTTAAAAAACAAATTTTGAGCAAAAAAAAATTGTTGTAATGAAAAAATTTGAACTATAAATCCTGTTCTGAGATTTTAAACGATTTAAAAAAAAACTTAAGGGCAAAAAAATTTTAGAAAGGGGAAAAAACGAAGTCAAGGTTAGTAGAGTTATAAATTGCAGCAATAAATTAAAACATAAAAACAACTACAATGAAAACTGCACACAGTAAAAAAAAATTCTACGATGTGGCAAGTAAGCTGACAAAACATAAGCAGACAAATAATGAGCCGAAATTTATTTTGAAACGGAATAGTTCCTGTTTGGAAAAACAGGTCCTGATCAGATTCGAACCCAGGACATTTACCGTCACAGGCTTATTTGTTACGTCCAGACTAAGTGTGCCGGAGACGAGTGGAAAATTGAATTCATTATGAACCAAGATACCAACTGATTCTGTTAAAGTTGTCAACCCGAAAAAAAGTATATATTTCGATTTGATAACGCTTGCTAAATTCAAGCGTAAATATAGTATACATAGATAGATAGATAAACTTCAGAAAAATTCCTGAATTAAAGCGAGCGAGTAGATCTTACTAAAGGAAACTTTTTGTCAAAGTTGCGAAACTTTTTGATTAAAACAAAATCAGTTTACTGGCAAGGAAGCTTACAGAACTAGTTTTTTCTCAATTAAAACCAAATGTTCAGAACATAAATGAAAACGTTTTGTTTATTAAGACCTAGTCGCTCGTTTTTCTGGCTCGAAATTATACCATAGGAAACATTTCAAAATGGTTTTTCTTGACACTGGAAGATATTTGCGAAAAATTCTTCACGTCGTTCGAATCACGTCTGAAAGAGCTTCATTATGATATATCACTCGACAGATTCCGAAAAATTGACGTGGTATCTGATTTTGCGTGGAAAAAATCTAAAAGACACCCGAGGACAAAATTCCTCTCCAATTTCAGCTGTCGGAACAAAAAGAGCCGATAAACACTAAAAGACCAACTTTGGTTGCGAGCATGCCCTGTGGTCCTATCACTTTCTCGTAGATATGAGCAGCTACATGTGCGTCTACAGCAGCTAGAGGGTCATCTAACAAGTAGATGTCTCTGTCCGAGTACACTGCTCTGGCTAGACTCACTCTCGCCTTCTGACCCCCACTCAGATTTATGCCCTTCTCGCCTGGAAACACACATGGTGCAAAATCATAACAATGATACCCGGTTGCAAAATCATAACAAGGATACCCGACCACAATATTTAAAAAACAATTTTTTTTTACTTTTTACAAATTGTGTCGTTTTTATTCGTGGTGTGATGTATCTGATCGAAAGTCAATATCTTAGGCTTTATTCACAAGTATTAGTATATTATAAATATTAGACAAATGTTTCCCTGAGAAATAAAAAAAAATAAATGTATATTTTCTTATATTTTTTCTTAAATTTTTTTCCAGAAAATTAATTGATTTTTCTAATTTTTTCTGAAGACTAAAAATTCGAACTGCAGAAACACTAAATTTTCTTTCTTAACTTGAATCATAAGACATGTTAAGATCCACTTGCTAGTTTTACCCGCTCGAAATTAATAACTTTAAAACTTAAAACCTGTTTTTCTCGACACTGGGAGAACTTTTTAAAACTTTTTTAAAATGCCGATCGAATCAGGACTGAAAAGGCCTTAATATGATATATCACTATTTGTGTTACGTGATTTTTCATGGAACGCAAAAACGAAAAAGAAAAAAACACGCAAATGAAAAGTTCCTCCTCATTTTCAATGGTCGGAACAGAAACAGAAGTACATTGATGAGCACAGTCAACGCTAACACTTTTTTGTATACCATTCTTATTATCTCCCCAACTCCCTCCCCGCCCATTAACAAATACGTATTGCCCTATCATAATAGCGCATCATGACATGATTGGCTTAAATTTGCTAGAGGTGACTAAACTGAAAAATAGCCTCAAAATTTTCTCAACGCTTAATTCGGTATATATAAAATACTTTAAACAATATAATATAAAATCCTTGACAACTTTATTTGGGACCGTGAAACAGCGCACAGTTTGGCAATAAAAATGATAAAAGAACTGGAAATAGTAAAAAAAAATTGATAGCGCTTACCAATTTCAGTCATGTCTCCACTGTCTAATATTTTGAGGTCATCCACCAATGCACAAGCCTCTAGTGTCCTATCATACAACTCGGAGTCAAATTCCTTCCCAAATAGAATGTTGTCTTTCACTGTCGCATTTCGAATCCACATTTGCTGACCCACATAAGCTATGCTACCCTGAAAGTACAAGATTTGAGCATATCATGAAGATGAGCACTGAATAGAAAATTGGATTGGACCCCGATTTAATACTATTTTAAGAAATCCATTTTGGTTCGAGCAACCGCTTAACTTTTGAAAAGGCAGCTTTGGTGCCAATATACACTAATTTGGGAGCGAGTCAGGGCACGCCAAAAACACTTTTTTTCTCAAAACCTACCAAAAAAGTCTTAAAAGGTCATTTTTGGCCTGATATTGTTCACCTGCTGTGTGCTCAAAGACCAAAAAAAGTAACCAAAATAACTTCATGAAAATCCAACGCCCCCCCCCGCCCCCCTTACCCACATCTAGAAAATTTCATGAAAATCCAACGCCCCCTTCCTCAAATCTAGAAAATCTAGATCTGCCCCTCCTTGGTATTATGTTAATTCAATTCAAGATAAAAAAAAATTGTTCGCTACAAATCGAAGTATTGTCTGTAGAAAAAAAATCCGGGCAGCCAGCATTCATAAAAACAATGCACCACAAAGGCATTTTATGGAAATAAGAAACGACAAAAAACTAAAACGTTTTGAACTGATGAGCCTCAAATATAAAAACAACAAGAAACTATGTTTCCTCAAATCACAAAAACAGATGAAGGATAGCCGATTATGTGCAAGTAGCACAAAAAATTCCGACCACAATAATACAAAAATTCAAAATAACAAGGATAGCCGGTTGTTGTGTAAGTAGCTTAGACTGTTCCGACCAAAAATTCTTAAAATTGGGTTTTTCGCTCGAAATTGAACTAAAAATCAAACATTTTAAACAGGTTTTTCTCGACACTGGGAGAAATTTTTATGTTGTTGGAATCACGTCTATAAGGTCTTTAAAATGATATACCACTCGACGCTTTCCGATGATTTTGCATGGAAACAAAAAAAACTAAATCACACCCGAATACCAAGTTCCTCCCCATTTTTTTTTTAAATGGCGTCAATTTTTGCTTGTGGTATGCTGAGAGGATATAAACAAAAGAATAGAACTAAGGCATATTTGATAGAAAAAGTAAGTTAGACATATTCGACGACAGTTTTCTTCAGAACAGAAGATTAAAAAATGAACAGAAAATGATTTTTTTAAATAATTTTTTAATTCCCAAGATGGCGCTAAAAAAACTTCAAAAACTAAATTTACTGGAGCAAAATTAAGTTTTCACGGCTTAAATAAAAGCCCTCTTTTAAGCATGCTCGCTCGAAGTAAGACTAAAATGTGTGCGGAATCGGGTAAATACCATGCATGCCAAATATGAAAAAAATCGAGCAACATTAACGTAAGTTTCATGCCAGGTACAGCAAAGAAGAATAATTAAACAGCCCATAAATGAAACAAACTTACATCTACATTGGCACATCCGCACTGTTTCCTCATCTCTCCCAATATGGCATTCAACATGGAACTCTTCCCACTGCCGACATTTCCCAGGATGGCATAGAAGGAGCCCTTCTCCACGTTGAAGTCGATCTTGTCCAGGGTGAATCTACTGGTCGACGACACCTGCAACAATTAATAAAATCTAACAGATGGAACAGATGGATATAATTTGCTGGAGGATTGTAGTAGGAAAGAGTGACTCATTATTCCATCAGCCATATTAAACAATTAATAACAATATTAGCATTATTTGAAGGCCGTTAAAATTCATCACAAGGCATTGGCAAGTAGCAAAAAACTTACCATGGTCGGTAAGCTTCGCCTGAATCTTTGTTGAGAGCTTAATCTACAGTTACGAAATGTCCCGTGGCGCATTTTTCACCCGAATGTCGCATTGACTTCAAATATTGAATAACAAACCTCATATATTGTTTTTTTTTAAGTGGAAATTCAGAAAAAAACCTAGTAAAACCAATCTAAATCAAGTTAGTTAAAACAATTGAAATGAAACTTGGCCAACCTTCGGATTTTTGTCCGTCGTGAGCAGCTGATCTTCTTCATCGCAATTTTTCTCTTCCATTTCTTCCGATTTGACACCGTTTTCCTGCTCCTTATTGCTTTTTTTAAACTTGACTGAAAGTGGAGACCCATTTTTGGGTTTGCCGTCTTTTTTCTTGTCATTTACATCCCAGATGAAAGAACAGTTTTTGAGCTCAATCGCGTTTCCTGAAGAATACATCCGAACTATTTATCAATACCATTTAATAACAAAAGATAGTTACGATACTTAAGACTTGAAAATACCCAACCTTAGCCCTTCTAACCATGCACTAAGTGCAATTGTTATCATCCGGTCTCCATTCACAATATTCTAAAAACGACTAGTTACACCGAAAAACTTCTGGTTATGAAAGTTGGGTGGAGGTGGAATTGGAATAAAGCCCTTTAAACAATTTCATCGGTTTTTTTCCAGTCCCGCTTGATTTTTACTAAATTACGATTTCCTAAATGCCATCATAAAACATAGCCGACACACCAAGAAAAGTATCAAGGAATTCAGTAAAAAAAGCACAAAAATTGACTTTTTGAAATATTCGAAATCCAAAAAAAATATCACGCTGAAGCTCTCTAAATTTATGATGAACATTTATTCTCTGCACGTTTTCTCTGCAACTATCTAAGATATAGCGTTGAAAAGTTCACACCGGCTATGTAAAACTATTTGGAAAGACGGATCAAAATTTGAAAAAGGGGTTAAACAGCCAGTATATCATAATCAGTTTCAGTGATGTCCTTCATGTGGAAACTTCCTCACCAACAACACGAGGAAATTGAATTTATCGACTCAGATGAGCCTAACTTAGCCCTTATATCGCGGAAATGTGACACAAAAGAATAAAGTGAATACTTGGTCCGGCGTCACTAATCGGCATTATACTTATAAGAAACTTCACGCGCTGATGATCGAAATAAGCCAATGAAAGAACTGTTCCAGCCAGTTTTTTGGAAACATGACTCTGCTTTGATCTACGCACAAAGTTCTCATAAGCAGTTAAGTTTTCTCTTAATTTTGTCCAATTTTCTGCTATAAGCACCTAAGACCTTTTAAGGCTTGTTTTGTGAAAACAAAAACGACCGTTTTTTGACGCCGGACCAAGTATAAGGTATAAGTTCTTTCCGCGGTATAAGGGTCAAAATAAGGCGTCTTAAAGTTTTCTCACTCAGATTTCTCGAGCTTCGATTACGCTAGCTTTTTTCAATTAATTTCACTTAATCATGTGTCAAAAGTCATTCCTATCAGTGAACTGACCGCTTTAAGCGGAAGCGGCCGGAAAAAGCGGTAAACCAGTTGAAATAAGCGAAAGCGTAATGATTTTTGTAAATGCGGCAGAAAAGCGCGGCTCATTTTCAGAAAAGCGATTATTCACACATAAAAATTTTGCAGAGCGCTTGTCGAGTTACTTATTCTCGCCCATTGTCAAAATCAACAACCCACTTCGTTTTTGGTCGACTTATCCAGAAAGCATACAAAACTTTGTTTTCAACGCACTTTCTGTGAGCCCTGACACAGGTACTGTCGAGAGGCTTTTTTCTGGCAGCGGAAACATTCTCTGAAAAAATTGTAAACGCTTGGGCGCAAAAGTTCTCGAGAATCTTCTGTACTCTTAAACTAATTGATTTAATTCAATTAATATTTCCTTGTTTGTTTTCTTTAAAAGCGGATATCTATAATTTAGAAAAGCGGTAAAAGCAAAAAGCGGCTTAGAAAAAATCGGAAGCGGCGAAAAGCGGGTTTTTCATAAGCGGTCAACTCACTGATTTCTATATCACAAACAGCGGCAGAGAAAACGACATCAACGAAGGAAAAATTCGTTCATTTGCTCGTTGACATCATAAAGATGCAAATTCTGTGTACCGTGCTTTTATTTATACGTAAAATGGCTTCACTGCGTTCATTGACACTTCACTACGTTAAAATTCGATGCAAATAACCATGCAAAAAACATCACATTTTAATTTTCTAGCATACAAATTCCGCGACAAGCAATCATTAGTTAATTGTTCTGACCATTTGAAAAATGGGGAGGAACTTTGCATTCGCGTGGTTTAGTTTTTTCTTTTTGTTTTCCACACAAAATCAGGTACCACAAATAATGATCGGAATGGGTCGAGTGCTATAACATATCAAAGCATTTAACAAATTTGAAAAACTTACTGGTCGAAAAAAAGCGGTTTGAAATTTTGGATGTTTTGGTCTAATTTCGGGCAAATAAGGTGAGCGAGGCTTACAATAGGCTTACATTTATGCTTAATTTATGCCGTGAAAATTCAGTAATTGAGTAAAGTTAATTTTTGAAGTTAGTTAGCTTCATTTAGGTTTTTTATTTCGTTCTTCTAGTCATTTTTCTCTTAAAAAAACTGATTTCCAATTGGCATATTTTACTATGACTGCCGAAAATACCTAAGTTCTATTCATTCGTTCAGACCTTTTTTATCACACCACGCAGAAACAAACAACAATGAATTTAAAATGCACAGTAATCGACTATCCTTGTTTTACATTGTAGTTTTATGAGGATATGTTTCTACCCTACTTGTGCAACCACTCATCACACTAAAAAATTGATTCTGAATGAAAGTGTGAAGTGGGAGCGTGGAGCTGAGTAAAAAAGAATAACTGCCTTTAGTGTGTGCCCTTGAAATGGCGTCTGTCTGCAGTTCGTCCAGGAGGAAGAAGTTAGTCAGTCTGTCCATTGCCACTTTGGCCTGCACCAGCTGTGAAATGATCATCGGCAGCACAGACATCGGGAACCTACATTCGGCAAATATAAAAATTACTCAGAGGAGAAGCGACTTCATTCGTTTATCTCTGCAGATAGTTTAGACTTAAAACCGGTAGACAATTGCAAATAAGTAACAATAACAACAGACTATTGGAAAAGAAGTGCCAATGAACTCAATGAAGGCCGAAAATAACTGACCTTATATCACTTTTAAAGCTTTTGGAACTTCAAGATACTTGTTTGCTAAAACTAACCCAATTTGAGAAAACTGGATCAATAAGTAATCTTTTTGAGCTGGGAAATAAAGAAATTGAAAAATTAAATTCCATTTTTGAAAATTAAAGTCGATCACGAAGAGCGTAACATGTCTTCGAATTATCGAAGAGCGTAACTTGTCTTCTTTTCTTCAAAAAACACCAACTAATCAAAACATCAATGCTCTAACCTCTCAAAAATGCTGGGGCATGAGAAACGTTGCATGAAGAAACACAAAAGCTTTTCCGCGGTCCCATCCTCCAACAGCAATAAATATCAATTCAATGGTGAACCCGATTAAATTGAGAAAATATGCTATATTAAAAAGGGTAAACTGAAGGACACAAATAGTCAAAAACAACTACATTAAACCTAGACTCACAAACTCCCTCTCAACAACGCGTGGTTGACAGAGACGCATAAAAAATCAGCAGACATTTCGAACCGAAGACATCAGCAGACATTTCCAAAAACTTGCACGCATTTTGAACCGAACTAATTTTTTATTTTTTCAAGAGGTGAAAAAGCATTTCGTATACAAAAGCAGAAATATCACAGATCTGGCTAGGAGAAACTGAGCCTTCGTGAGTTTCGCAGCTCACTTTAAAATATGACTTAAGTGATTTGACTTGGGACCCAATGCTCTAGGACAATTTTTGCATATTCCGTTCCGTTCCTTTTAGCAAATGAATTTCAATTTGTTTAAGAAAAATCTGAAGCCTATTCACTCAAATGAAAACCTGGTCTCTACAGAAAAACCGAAAAAACACAAACCACACAATCTAACAGTTAAACACAATAGCTTGTAATAATATCATTATCACAGATTGTAATTATAGGCATATGCTGTTAAAAAAAACTATAATTGTAAAGAGCCCTCTCATCGATATGACTGACCTCAGAATGTTAAAGAGGGCGATAGAGACGAATGCAGTGGTTGGGTAGAGGGTGTTTCCAGCCAATATATAGGCAGTGAACGCAAACAGAGCAACCTAAAACACATGAACACACACATGATAATCAATGATTTACGCTTAACTTCGTCCATTTGTACAGTAACAGGTTTAAAGGTGATGTTTATAAGCCTCAGGAATTTGCCCTCATCACGACTCAAGGAAACATCCTTAAAAAATATATGACAATTTTAACAGCTGGCTTTGCTTCTATCTGTATATATATACTTGTAAAAAAAAATATATGCTCTCAAAACTTTTTGTATTTCGCGAACAAAATATTTTTGATCATTTGTGATGAAATTTACACATTAAAAAGTGTTATCAAATCGAAACACACTTTTTTCGGGCTGACGACTTGTTTAACAGAATCAATAGAATCATTTGTATCATGGTTCATACTAAAATCAAAATGTTATGCATCTCCAGCACTTTTTTAATTTTGATTTTCGTTCAAATTGTCTTGCGGTAAACATGTACTATTAGTTTTCCGTAACTCAACTTTTACTTACGTAAAAACCGCTTGCTTACGTGGTTTCTGAGAGTTTTTATACTGTAAGGCCATTTTGATCGTTTGTAATAACACTTAGCAAAACTTTGAAAACAAATCAAAACTTCGTAAAAAGTGAAATTTAGTTCCAACATGGATGTTACGTAGATGTTTCATTGATTTCACATCAAGGTATCTAAACATTACTAAAATAGATGTCACATCGATGAAACATTGATGTCACATCAATGTTTTATAATAATTAAGGGTAAAAGAATGAACATAGTTAAAACAGAGTAAAACTACGTATTCGTGCTGGTACATCCCTGAAACATGTCAAAATAATGCATTAACAATGATACCTTTCTGAATTGCAATGCAACTTCAAACTGGGGTGTTTAATATCAGCAAACTCACAATCATAAATTTACCCAACTGTCTTATTGTCTGATGGTAACCGCAAAATAAACAGCAAACTAAAAAGCTGGAACCATTTTTTTTTCAGGAAAAAACCAGGATTAAATCGAGAAGTTCGAAGTTTTGAATTTCGGAGAAAAAAAATAGACGGCCTTAAAGCTCTTTGAATTTGTAAAACAATTTATGATGGACAGTTTTCTGCTTAAATTACCCAAATTTGCGAAAACTGGATCAATAGGTAAAACTTTTATTTCGCTGGGAAAATTTGATAATTGATTTCAATTTTAAATTAGAAGTCGATCATGTTTTCGTGACCTTTACACTTTGCTGTTCGATAGTGGAGTTTGCCTTCCTTTTAACAATGGAAATGCACTGAACTTAAAAAGAAATCACAAGTCAAACCGCAAAAAAAATCAAAATTGAGCGTGAAGAAATTTGAAGGCTTTTTCACGAAAAAAAAATCAAAACTCACTACGGTGATTACTCTTAAAAGTAAATCAAACAGTGAAAAAAAAAACTTGAACATTAAAGAAAAAATTTGCGGTCTAAATAAATGTCTTCACTTCGTTAAACATGTTGAAATTTTTGAAAATACCCCAAAAAGGCTTCATGCAAAAAACTGCGGTTTATATAAAAAAAAATATCCCATTCGGTTTGTGATGAAACATACATGCACGTCAATTGTCAAATACAAACTAAGCAGTGCGAGCGGAGGGGTGTACTGTAAAATAGCACAACTTCTGTTATCAAAAATTCTGCAAAAGTATCATTGTTTTCATTCTCTGCTTATCTTCTGGAAATGCATTTTTTCCGCATGAATTGTTTTCAAATATATAGACAGAATTTGGTGCATGCCATTAATCTAATTGTGGAACAACCTTCATTAACTTCGAGCACGATGTCAAACCAAATTGCTTTTTAAAATCCAGCAGACTGGCTTCTCTTACCATATATGGTCCGCATATCCAAAAGAATCCAGTGACTGCCTGCAGATACATGGTCTTCTTGATAAACTTTATCTCACACTCTCTGATCTTATTCACTTTGCTCATGAATGCATTCTCCCACGCGTACAGCTTCAATACTTTGATCCCATTCAGAATATCAGTCAGCAGTTTTACTCTCCCGTCCTTAGCCTTCATCTGTTTCATCTACACAGAAAATATTCTAGAATATTCTCACTGATAATCTTAATAATCATAATCACCAAACAGATAAAATTGTTTTGTTTACAATTTAGTTCGGCCTGGGAGAATACTAAAAAGGCATCAGCCTGTTGGGTGGCATCTCTATCGGGTGGCTTCCGGTTCAGATAGCATTGTTCGGTTCTTTCCCATTAAAACCCTTCAGCCTAGTACCGAAAAATCATACAGACAGACGGAAAAAAATTATACCAGGGGGGGGGGGGGCAGTACAACAGTGCCGAAGTACAATAATGCCGAAAATGAAAACTTTGTTCAACAGTGCCGAAAATGAAAACTTTGTTCAACAGTGCCGAAAATTTGAATAAATTTCAACATATTAAGTGCGGCAAAAAAACTTTAGGATTTTGAGCGAGAAAATTTGCAATTTAGACGTTTTGGCGCCAAAATAATTGTTTAATTTGCAGTTGCAGAAATATTGGCGCCAAAATTGGAGTGATTTTCTTTGATAATTAGCGTCAGTAATTTCCCGCTCTTTAGAAAATGCGTGAAAATTATTCTGAAATTTTCCCGCCTTTTTCGGCACTGTTGAACGGTGTGCCGGACATCAAGCCGACGGGACTTCAAGCCGAATTGTAAAATTAGGGACTTCAAGCCGAATAATTCCTTATAAAGTCGTTAAATATGAACAATTTGAAAACTTTTTTGAAGAATTTTTGAATTTCATGATCTTTCTTCACTAGTTATTGGCGTTTGCTTATAATTTAAGCCTCCAAATGATGTTCCGGAAAGTTGAAAAGTAAAACATGTTTGAAATCATTTTTCATGTTTATAATTTATGCATTTCAAAAACCGGCTGATGTTATTAACGGATGCGAATCACAAGCGGCGCATTGTCATGAATAACGCTTATTATGGACTTAACTTGCCAAAATTTTAGAAAAGCAACATTTTGCAGATGATAAAAAAGCGTTTTGGGTTGCTTGTAAAGTTTTAATTTCGGCTTGAAGTCCCTTCGGCTTGTTGTCCTAGACCCCTGTTGAACGTCCCCTATCAGGGCGGCCACAGAAGTCGCAGGCACTGACGGCACTGATACTCGCACTGATGAAAACAAATGCCTGGCACTGACATTTTAAAAAAAGAAACCTTTTTTGGCTTTTTGACCCAACTTTTTTTTTCATTGGCCCAACTCATTGGCCGACCTTTTTTTGTGACCCAAATTCTTTGACCCAGCTAATTTCTTCTCAGAGCTACTCATACTACCTGAAAAAAAAACTTATACTGAGTACGCCTGCTTAGATTTTTGATTTTGAACGATTAAGCAACGAAGCGCGATGAAAAAATTTAGCACTGATATTCATTTGCTGGCACTGATCGCACTGACAGATCACGCTTCGCACTGATTTGGCACTGATACCGTGGCCACCCTGTATATTGTTCCCATCTGTTATCATCGCAGCTCGGTTTAACTGCTTCGAAATTATTTGGTTATATAGATATAACTCAAATTTCTTCAGGAGAAATTAGTCGTTGACTTTTTCCCATAACGGCTCTTTTCAAGTTCCCCAAACCCCAATCAAAAAAATACTAAATGAAGGTGTCTAAAAACTGTTCAAACCGCAATTTGCATGCACAAGAAAATCGATAAAACTTTTTAATTTGATAACAATGACAAGTTTTAGGACCATTTAAAACAACAATGTCAGTTTTTTTATTCAACAGAGGCGAATCGGAGTTTCGCACCACTTGGAAACATATTAGGCATTTCATCAAAGACTAAATTCATTATAAAAATGTGATATTCATTTTCATTTTTAGAAAATTAACCGCAATCTCTAGCAAGTTTTAAACAATTAACTCATTTTATTATCATTTGTTCTATAGGTATTAAAGTGACATTTACAAAGGATGATTTCGTCAAAATCTTTACCATATTTCTTAATTCACCTGACATAGTGCAGTTATTGGCTAGTTTAATGTCGACATGACAGCATTGATCAACAGTTAATCATGGTAGCAATCAATTGTTGATAAGCTATGAGAAGACTTAATACCTGAACACTAATCATTCCAACACACAGCCACCTCATTCTAAAGCCCAAAACATTCATTTGAAATTTTCAAATAAAAAAGACGACTTGCACTGCTAAACGGACTCAATCAAGCGTTTTTTGATTAAATACAGACGCCAAGCAAACGTCAACACCAAAGACAGCATTCCGATAATAAAAACAAAGAAAAAATATTCTCACCTGGAACTTTTTCTGCGTATTACCAGACACCACATTTATTGGCATCGTAAGAACCATGTAGCAGAGTCCAGCAAAAGCAGACAGGCCCAATTGCTGATACAACAAGATCATCGCCAACAGGATCTAAAACAGGCTCACGGACTGTTTTTCAGTTAATGCCAAATTGTGAGAATAAATTTGTAGTTGAAAATCTGAATTTATAATAATAATAATAATAATAATAATATTTAATTCAGTTGATGATTATTACAAAACAATATGTATATTTACAATCATCAACAAGGATTGTCTAAAAAGCCTACGGCTTATCTAGTAGACAACCTTAAACTCAAATATCAATGACAATACAGCTGTTTATGAACTTCCTTATTATCAAGCAGATAATTATCAAAAACATCGTGTATAAAAATCTTGAGTTGATGTCTCTGCAAACTTGTCACATCTTCATTCAATAAACCAGATGCAGTTATATAATTATGAATAATGGTTCTTCTAACATTTATGGAATTTTGAAAACATTTCGTTCTTTGTATTTTACTATTAACTTTTCCAGAAGCAACTCTCCTAGTGCAGTACGCCACGTTATTAGTCGTGGTACTATCACAAATATTATTGTAGCAAATATCTTTAAACAGTTCGTAAACGTGAAGATCAAATACCGTTTCAATTTTATGCAGTCTGTACTTTTCAACTGTGCTCTCTCTATAATCAATTCTAAAAATAGCACGTATTATTCTCTTCTGTATTACTAAAATTTTATTTAGATCTGTTAAGTTTGCACAGCCATAAACCAATACGCCATATTGAAGAACAGGTTTGATGTAGGATCTGTATATCAGTAGAAGCATTGGAATATTAAATAATTTTCTGGAACGATATATTACTCGACACAGTTTAGACAATTTCTTAATAACATGTTCAATATGCATCTTGAAGTCTAACTTTGAATCAATGTAGATACCCAAATACTTCGTGCAATTAACCATTTTTATGCATTCACCTTTTATATCAAGACCAATTTCTCCATTTTTCTTGCTGAAATTGAGCAGAACAGTTTTATCAGTATTCAGTGAAAGTTTATTGCAACATAAGTAATTGTAAACTATATCAAACTCGGTTCTTAATTTCTTTCCAGAATTCTTACCAGAAGTCATAATGGATGTATCATCTGCAAAAAGTGTAGTATCTAAACTAGTGCTATCAGGTAAATCATTTATGTAAATCAAAAACAGAAGCGGACCTAGAACAGATCCTTGTGGAACTCCCGTTGAAACATTTTCAAGCGTTGATCTATTATTTCCAATTTCAACATACTGCTTTCTATTAGTCAAGTAGGCTCTAATCAAATTGTTACTTTTACCCCTGATCCCATAATGATCAAATTTTTGCATCAGAATTTTGTGATCAATCGTGTCAAAAGCTTTCTTGAGATCCAAAAAGAAAGCAATTGCATCCGCTCTTTTATTAGTAGCATCTCTTAAAAATTCGGTCAGCCTCGCAACAGCCTGAATCGTAGATCGCTTAGATCGAAAACCATATTGGTTCATGTTTAAAATAGAAAATTTCTCAAAAAAATTAATGAACCTCGAATGTATAAGTTTCTCAACGACTTTGCTCAGGCAAGACAACAGCGAAATTGGTCTGTAATTACCAGGATCTGTTTTATCTCCATCTTTCAACATAGGGACCACTTTGCAAATTTTCAGTAAGTCTGGGAAAACATCAAGGTGAATGCATTCGTTAAAAATATCGGATATTAGTGGTGCAATTACCACTCCTAACTGCCTGATGATTTCATTGCAAATATCATCAGGTCCACATGAGAACTTACTTTTAAGGCTATTGATAACATCTAGAACTTCTCTGTGGTTAGTTTCAAACATTACCATTGATTGCACTTGTTTTGGCGATCTACATATCGGTACTGATGAGTAAGGTATTTGCGATGCAATTTTCGACCCAATGCTACAGAAAAAAGTATTCAATTTATTCGCATCAATATGTGTCGTTGTGTTATTTCCGGTCTTTCCTATTCCTACATTTTTAAAAATCGTAAATAAATCTTTACTGTTAGTCACCTTTTCCACTTTTTTAGTATAAAAGTTCCATTTCTCTAATCGCAGCAAGGCGTTTACTTTATTGCGAATGATTTTATAATTGACATGCGCTTCAGTCGACCAGCAGGCCTGTAGTTGGCAAAGAAGTCTATCTCGTTTAAAAATTAGTTTTCTAATTTCTGGAGTTATCCATTGTGATTTCACTTTTCGTTTTTTACCATATACTTTTAATGGAGCGAATACATCTAGGCAATCGATAATTGTTTTAATCAGAAACTCAACTTTTTCATCACATGTTCCTTCCGGTACATTTTTTAACAGGTAGTTCACATCTGCTAAAAACAATATTTTTTCGGTTGATTTTTTTAGAAAAGACAGATTACGAATAGTCAAGTTATCATCTATGTTTGACACCACGTTAATATCGGCGAAGATAATATTGTGATCACTAATACCAGAAATTACATTATGTGTTGCAACAGGAAAATTTGAAATTATATGATCAATGCAAGTACTACTACGGTTAGTAACGCGCGTTGCTTCGTTGGCGTTATTTATAACAAAATTGTAACTTTTACTTAAATTTTTCAACCCTTTTGAGCAACTATTTTCAACCAGTGTATCAATATTAGAATCCCCAACGAACATTGTTTTTGAATTTACCATCGTTTCTAAGTTGCGTTCCAGAAAACTATAAAAATGATCGATATTTATATTGGGCGGACGATAAAATACGCAAATGTTTGTTGAAGATAGAGATCCATTTTTAAGTCTAATACACAATGCCTCAATCCCATTTTCGCAAACAATATTTTCATTTATAATAAAGTCAATGCCAGTCTTAACATAAAAAGCAACACCCCCCTCCCCTTTTATTTGTTCTACATCTAGAAACTATAGGTTGAAATCCCGGAATATTGTACATTGCCAATGGGTCTGTTTCAGTTAGCCAAGTTTCCGAAAGGCAGATAATCGATAGGTTTTCGTTATAAGTTTCAATAAATCCCACTAAATTGTCAAAATTGCATCGCAAGGATCTTATATTTAGAAAAAGAAGTGTTTTATCAGCTGGCAAAGTCATCGATTAGGTTTTTAAAAATGCTAAGTATCAGTAGGTTCGATCTCACCCGCGTCCTCCTGCTCTATCACATTGACCGGCGCTTTTGCCATTTTTCCAGGTGGTGAGCTTACCACTGCGATTACATTTTCAATTAGACCACACAATTTGTCCAGTTTATCTTCCATATCAACGTTCTCTCGTTGCCTCTTCTCCCCTCTAGGTTTTCCATACATTGCATATTTGTTTTTCGCAGTACCATGTTTCATTTGGAATAACTCATTTCTGGAATAAGAAGACTCGTCGATTATCTGTGTATTTCCCTGAATTCCTGTATCCATTTTGTTACCATCTAATTCTTCCGAAAATCCGCTGGCAACTTTGTCAATCTCACCGCGACTGTTAACTGGAACCCATTTATTATTTATTCTGAGAAGTGGTTGACAATTGTTTGTTTTAAATTTCAAACCTTTCTCTTTTGCATAATTCACTGTATCTCGGTCAATTTCTGGAAGCCTCTCAACGATGAAAATATTCTTCGTCGATTCATTGTCAGTTAACGTAAATCTGTTTCGCCATACATAGTCACGCTGCCCATTGTAAATAAATTTAACAATAATTGGTTTTTTCTCTGCATTACCCGGTAAATAGTGACATGCAGCCAAATCTTCGGGTGACACTTTAGCTCCTAGAACACGATTCATAATATCAAGTACTGGTACCATCGGATCCACGCCGGATTTCACGCCAAGAAATGTCAAACATGATCGTGATAAATATCGTTCAGAGCAAAGTACACGGTTTTGAATAATTACATTGTCCTTGCGCAGTTGAGAATTTTCATACTTGAGATGCTCGATAGTATTGTCCAATGTCTCCATTCGGTGAATAAAGCTTTCGAATAATCCTTTCACTTCTTCTGGGTTTGATAAATTGGCATTCTCTAGGTGTGCACGCAATAATGCCATTTCTGCCATGTGAATACAGCGATGTGATGTCGTAAGAGAACGCGAAGCAAATCGTACTAATCTTAGTTCATTTCGTCTGAAACTATTTAATAAGTTTATCACAACAATTAGGCTAAAACTATTTAATAAGTTTATCACAACAATTAGGATTTTACAGAAATTGTATCTAAATTGAAAACCATTTATTACACAGAGCAGAAGCGAAGCCGAGCTTCGCGCCACTTGCGATGCAGCACAAAATTTGAAAGAAAAAAATCGACTAACTTCAGTTCATTTCGAGGAGTAACACGGGAAGGCAAACACAAAATGTAAACATCTACTGAACTAAATATTTATGAAATTTTTAAGACATTAAATTGAATAATTCAGAAAACTATCCAGTAGATACTTAACCCAACGTAATAACTGAAGAAAACCTAAGTAAAATATCAAAACAAAGAAACCGCATTTAGGACAAAAATTCCTCAGTGGCATCTTTAACTACGGAATAAATTGAGGTTAATTTACCCAAATGTCAAAGCAGCCTCAAACAGAGAGAGCCACCATTTCTTAGATTACTTCATTTTGAACAATGAAGATCTATTGAACATAACAAACAGCTAGAAAATTTAATATAACATGTCAACAGGTTACATGTCAATAGGAGTTTTTTTGCGTTTTGGTCGATACCGATTCAGAAAACAATTTAACTTTTCCGCTCAGAGAAGTATGAAAAGGTGCCAGAAGGTCTCGTGGCTATCTGTCAGGCTATGGTTTAATGGTTGCAAATGTGAATGTATTTGTATAACAATAATTATTGGTTTATTAGCCTGAAAACAATTTATTACACAGGCGAAGCTGCGCTTCGAAAACACTAGCGTGAACACGACAAAAATCAGCTCTAGAAAGTGCAATAAGAAAAAGTATAAATGAGCCTCGAATTCGCGAAAATTCGGCTGGCTCTAGGTTTCGATCTGCGACCTACTGAAATCACGAGAAATTGAGTCTCACGCACTAACCACTCAGCCACGCACGCTTAACTACCGATAAACACTAGCACGAATAAAGCAGCTGTGTGTATTTATATCCATGGAAGAAATATCATTCGGGATATATGATATAAAATAAAATAAATTTTTTCTGATTACTGCTCTTGAAACAAACAAAAAGGCGAATTCCCAGTAAAGAATAAGTAAATACATATCTGTTAGCTGTGAGCATTACATTCTCTTTCATTAACGTGATCAAAATGTACCACCACATATGCTACTTTATCGCACGAAACCTAAGTGCATATGAGACTGAGTACTTATATGCGATTTTGCTGATTTACCTGAAACGGTGCACTCCACAGGAGGTTGATGTAAGTCATGAGATCCATGAACTTCTGCGCATCTACTGACATCAGATTCACTATTTGTCCAATCGTGGACTCCTGACGACCTTGACTGCTCAGAACTAGAGACTAAAACAAAGAAAGGTTCAGCCTTCACTTCTTTTCAATTATACACCTCTGAGGCAATTCATAATCCCCTCTGATATTTCAGATATATCCAAATTTATTCCATCCAAGCCTCCAAATTCAGAAGTGATGGTATACAAAAACCAGAAGCACCGGAGATGGCCGATTCCCAATCAGAGGCCCGATTGTCTGCTTGGAAAATTAAAAAAGTGTTTTTTAATGGATAACGATTGGTTATTTTTAGCATCTTAGAAAAGATTATCTGGAAAAAATAGAATATAAAAGCTTCCAGCACATGAGAAAGAAATCCGCCTAAATTAATTTAGAGGTGATTGTTCACCTAACTAAAAGCTTTGGTTCTTCTTGTTTCCCCTTCACCTCATATGGCTTTTTTTCCGTTTTCCATGGAAAATTTCCTTTTTTTTCTGTCCATGAAATTTCAACAGTATTCATTACGAGTAACTGCTAAATTGACCATTATTTTTATTAGATGATCTTTCAATGTGTTAGTTTATATGGGAAATTTGCCACAGTTATTGAATGAGAAGTTCATCGGACAAATCATACCCAAACAACAACGTCCTTAAAAATTTTGTTAGCTGCCGCTAATATTTTGAAGTATCACCAGTGCTGCAATTTAAATGTTCTGTCTTACAGGTTTTATATTCAATGAAAGAAAACGAAACATAAAACGTTTGAATATATATGCTTATATTTACTATGATCAGCATTATTATCCGAGCCTCAGGTCGTTTTACCTAGAATCTCAGTCGTTCTATCTAAAAAATTTTTGCGGAACTAGAGAGAATGGATCTTTTCCCATCCTTCTCGCGCTTCACATTGCCATTACTTTTTCATTGAATCATTTTAGCGGTGAGGGGTTGAATCATTTTGAGGGGTTGAATCATTTTATTGAATCATTTTAGGGGTTGAATCATTTTAGCGGTGAGCGCTGGCTATTACCTTGCGGTAGACCATGTCGATGAGTGCTGTTCTCTGTCTGATTCCGACAATTGTACCCACGTAGAAGTATCTCTGAAGGAAAGCAGTCTGCATGACGTTGTTGATTAGAAGGAGCAGGGCTAGAGAGACTCCGTAGACAGCCGATCCATCCAGCGCCATGTAGCCCAGGAACAGTCTATCAATTCACATCACTTAATTACCCTTTTCCACTATTCACCATTATAAATTACTGCCATCGTAACTGTCAATTATGACTACATGCGTTATAATATAATTTAATGTATGAAGATCAAATGAAACAAAAAAAGACAATTTTTGACTAACTCCATAATTTTTGGCGCCGTGAAGGTCAAACAATCATTGATGAGCTTGTAAGCCATCGTAACTGTCAAGTGTCCCTTATAAGCCCTCATCATGGCCCAGAAAAGAGACGGCTTCCCCTTGCGCTCACGGTCTTTCCCGCCTTCATTTTCTTTTGTTCCTGTCTTAATTTCGACATCTGGTAAATTATCTGTCTCGTCTTCCTTTCCGTTTTCATGGATTTTTTCATCTGAGGGATTTTGATGGTTGTCGTCGATATGAAGCATTAGCTCCTTGTATCCATTGCTAAAAAAAATCCAATTCGAGATCATTTGAAAGGCGGTAACGACAGAAAAGATGGAATAATAAAAAAACGCCAAGACCTAGAGTGCTGATTTAAATTATTCGGACAAAACGAACAAAAATATTTGCGACTCAAGTTAGAAAAAAGAATAGTCGTAGTATAACACTAACGCTCACTAAATTTTGCTAGTGTAACAAGCAACAAAACTTAAGACGCTGAAACAAGACCGAGACATTATCTTTGAGCAAAGACCAGTTGAGACCAAAAACCGATTTTGTAAAAAAAAAACTATTAAAAGTTTTGAGTCCCCTGAAATTACCCTGTAGTAACTAGTACCCACCCAGTAGTTAAATTTGAATTTTCATGATATTGAGCATGACAGCTGCATTTGAAATTTCACGAAATTGTGCATGTCAGCTGCATTGAGCATGTCAGCTGAAATTGAGATACGATTCAACTGATTTTGTTAAACTAGTCGTTAGCCCGTAAAAAGTCTACATTCTGATTTGATAACGCTTGCTAATCGCAATCGTTAAAACACAAAATGAAATACGGGCAAATTTCAATAGCGAAGGACAAGGTTGGTTACGGGAAAAAATCTAGAACCCGATTGCAACACCATTTGCTATAATTCTGTTGATCGGCAATTTCTATAAGTTGCGGTGGGGAATTGTATGATTACCCTTTATCGAAAGGGTAATCATACGATTCACACACAGAGGCAAAGTAGCAACTTCGAAAACTCGAGCGAGAAAGCGGTAAAGATACGGGAGCTTTAAGCTGCACACAAACTTTATTGTTCCGACTTTCGTATCGAAAGTAACGGAATACTTGGCCACGGTTTTTTTTTCTTCAGTCAAATTTCGAATTTTTAAACTAGCCATTTTTGATGGAAGATAAAAGGTATTGTTGTCCTGAGCCTAATTTCGAAAAAATAATTTACCAATGATCATTTTTCGTACAGTTATGGCGGTTTAAAGATTGCCATTTTGGCCAATTTGGGACAAGTAAAGCGCGATATATGTCGCGCTATTACCGCGTAGGCGGAGATTTAATCCGTCATAAAAATCGCTCCAATTGGTTGAAAGAAGCTTATTTGCCAGAATTGATTTGTTAGCAGGAGCGAAATTTATCACTTTGTACTTAATATGGCGTGTGGGGGGATGATTTTCACAAAAAAACTCAAATTAACAAAAGGCAAGCTTACTAAGTTAGCAGGTAATAATTAGGAAGTATTAGACAAAATTGCTTATAAATTATGCAGTTTAAAAATCTCGCGTTATTTTAATTATAATACTGTTGTATGAAACAAACAGCTTTTTTCGGTTCCATTGATGAATTAAAAAAGCATCAAAAGCGTTAATTTATTAGTAATAAAATTTCGAAGCACATGTAAATATACCGCTAATGAAGCCTTCTAATTCAGATACAGCAAAAAATTTGTAACAGACAACAATTCGTAACATACGACGCTTCGTAACAGTAGATTGAAGCGCACTTTAACCTTGTCGAATGTGAGCGCAGCGGAGCAAGGGGTAATTTTTTGTCAATACTTTTTCACGAATGATCGTCTGTTACGAATTGTCACCCAACCAAATCCACTCACTCTCTGAGCTCTCTGTTCCATTGTCTGGCCAGCACCCTAGTGCACTCCTCAGACCTGTCTTCGTCCCTTACAGCCCAGATGTCATCCAGGACTAGTGCCTTTTTAAACCCAGTGTACATCATGCCATTGGCCCACCACATTGTCAACTGAGACACGAACGAAGCATACTCCTCCGGGTGGAACTTCTACAACAGGGGGTTAGATAAGTACTTAAACCACGAAATTTACTTAAATGGACAACTGTCCAGATCTCTCGATCAAAACTTTCGATAATATCAGATGGCCTTGATAATCGGCTCAACATGATAATTGGATGTTGTAACCATGGCTAAACAGTTAAGCAAGGTAAAAGTTTGCGCATTAATTTCATCTGAATTTGACAAACTTAAAACATTTTTCTTAAGACTTTCAATATCTGCTCGCCGTAAATTAAAATTCCGCAAAAAAATTCATTTCAAACAATTTCACACCCACTGAGGCATGGATATTCGATAAATCTGATTTTATTATAATCAATATTCATAAAAAGATAATCAGATAAGTGCAGTCTTGTGGATCAATTAAAGACTGAGATCATCTTAAAGCAAGAATATTTTATGATTGACCCTTTATCCATAAAACTGACGCAATTTGAAAAAACTGGACCAACATGTATTTTTTATTTCGCTGCGAAACTTAAAATCTAATTTATGGAACAAAGTCAATCATGTTTTTGCGCCATTGTCATTTCTGTTAATGGATAGCGTGAAAGTCAATGACTTTCACATCACGTGAAAAAAATCTCAAGACAAATGTCTGTCCAACAAATGATTATTTAACCACAAATGTTCAGTTAAGTACAGTCCTAAATGACTCAAACCCCGACTTTTGTCGCCCAAAGTGTGGACGCTATCTCAGCGCAAGTATGAATAAACCCATTTTGAAATAACTGACCTTGGCGAATTCGTAGTCCACAGTTGGAGCGGAGTAGAGGAAGAAGTTGATGAGACAAAATGTAAAGAGCACGAGGAACAAGGCATGATTGATCGAACCCATCTGCACGTACTCCTAAAACAAACTATTAGGTTCAAAGTTAAAATACAAAATGCATCCCGTGTAAAGGAGAAAAAACGTTGACAACGTACAATTGAGAAAGCTTGTGTTTAAATAGATTCTATTTCAAAATTATCAGAGAAAAAGTTTCAAAATAAAAACCACCTAAGCGAAACAAGAATTGCGGTTGCCTTCCTAGAATCAGAATGTCGTCGGACCATTTCAAGCAAAAATTCTATCGTTTTTGAGCACAAAGAGACCAAATATGAGGTCTGGCTGCCCTACGGGCTTAGTTATAGCTCTTGAAGGACAATTTTAGCTGATCTAGGGAGATAACGATTCTTCGCTCTAAAATGGTCTAAAAAACCAAAACTTCAAACAGCTTTTTCAGCCAACTTTTCGAGAAACTTTCATTATAGCTCGACTCACGGCTGAAATATCTTTAATAAATTATATTTTTCAACTTCCTTCGAAATTCGGTTGGGGTACATGATTCGGAGTGTAGAAAAAAAACACCTGAATTCAAAGTTCCTTTTCACTTCATGGTTGGAACAAACAAGAGCTCACACAAATGTGAATACTTATTTTAAACAGCAAAAAAAAACAGCTTAAAAGCGATGATGGTGAACCGGTTCTGACCCAATGTAATTTCTTAACACAGCACTATTGCCAAAACAAAGAATATTGACGACTCTCTTATGTCTATCCACATACCTTACCCGTGGTCTTTCATCAAAGAAACAAGGGGCAAAGCTGATGCTGAAACCGCGGCTTGAAGAATTGACTCGCATTTCTCCTGGTTGAAGTATTACATCCAATTGACCCGATCATGCAAAAACTCAAATGCGAAAGTTGCGACGAGTTCAACGCCAAGACTGCCTAAGGAGTGCATAGAAGATACAGGCATGAGTCACAGTTAAGGCAAAGCTGGCCAATAATGACGCAGAGCTGCTTGACTAAGAGAGAGCAAGATTGCCGTTATGAAAAGGTCAAAAAAGATTGCCAAAAACCCCAGGTCTTCATCGAATGTATTATTGATGAAAAAAACGTACCGAGAAAAATACAGGACTTCGAGAAATGAACCAAAGCCCTCATTGAAGAGGCACAAACATTCTGCAGGCATGAAAGTGAGAAAGAACAAATGGGACCGAAAAAAATTGGTAATGCAGTTGAGCACGGTGGCTTTGGACATATTATGATTGCAAGCCTCTGGATAAGACTGACAGAAGGACTTCAGAAGAAGAATGGGGTCGCTAAAAATATAGACCCACGGACTGAATTGCTCAGAAAACACAACAGGAAGGCTAAGTCGTTTGCAATTTCCCTAGTCGAATTTAAAAAAGCGTTCGACTCCGTGAGCCATGAAGCAATTGCGTAACCACCAGAAAGACGAAGGACTGTCGAACTGAATCATAAGCAACTTTTAAAAGGGCAGCAGCACTCCTGGTTGATGGCGCCCAGATACACCCGAAGAAGCATTAGACAATGTGTATCATAACGCCCCAGTCTCGTTTAACCACCTTGCTTTCGATGAGGTCCTCATCGACTGGTACCAGATAATTTTGGCTTGAAAGAAAACGGAAGAGTGACTAAAACTACCGCATATGCAGACGACCTGTTGCTGACCACTGAAGACATACGCTTGTTGCAAGTGATCCTAAAAAAATGATATAGCAGCCCAAAAAGAAATCAACACTCCGGCACAGCACTACTCCAGAATGTTTCGATAGGTACGAAAAAGGATTATTGAACGAATGAGATGGTAAAAAAACACGCGGTCACCTTTATTCCAACAGTCCAGTTCTGCAAACACTTCTAAGTGGATCAGTAGTTTAAAAATGATCACATCAGGCACTGATTTAATCATGGAATTACGGTCAGGACCAACTCAAAAATGACTAAGCAGAGAAAATATACGAGGGCGAAAAGTACCACAGTCATATACAACGGAAGAGATCATCAGAAAGGCCTCAAGCCAGACCTCATTGCTCCGATGGACGAGATGGTCGTGACCTTGGATGTTAGGAGCGTCTCAGATAGTAATGAGCGAGGAATGACAAACACTTTTAAAAAATTTAAGAAGTATCAATTAAAAACACCTGTTGAGAAGACTACTAGAAGCATTACCTAAAACGAATGACGCTAGAGTGATCCCGGTTGCTTTTAGCTGCAGAGAGATTCTACTCAAGAACATAGCCCAACAAGCGTAGCCAAAGAGTCGTGAACGCAAGGAAACAGAACAAAAAACAGACTTTCGAATCTCAAAGAAGAAATTATACTGCCTAAAAGTTCTCTGAATTTCAAGAACAATTTATCATTGATATATTTTTGGATAAAATAAACTCAGTTTGAGAAAACTAGATCAAAAGGTAAAATTTTTATTCCGCTGGGAAATCTGAAAATTTGAATCCACTTTCGAAACTAGAAGTTGATCTGTTTTTTGGGACATTTACACTGTTGCTGTTGAGTTTGCCAATTTTTAGCGCGAATAAATTTTAAGACTTGCCCCTGAGAAAAAAAATCACCAAGACCTATATAAGAGTTTTCACTGAGTTCAAGACTATAAAAAAAGCTCCGATCTAAAGCGAATAGAGAGCAACTTCGAAGTACCTGCAGTCACGACGATTAACCCAGGGAGTATGATCTTCTAGCCATTCAAGTGACCAACTACTAGGCACTGAAGCTACACACCGGAAACGACGACAGGTGACCGATCGAGACACGAAAAGAGCAATTGAAAAACCAAAGGGAACAGTGAACATCTCCCAAAACGATGAAGACAAAAACTTTCGAACTCTGGAGGAAAAACATATCATGTTAAGGCTCTTCTATGATCGACACTAATTTCATTCAAAGAAACCAGCTGGGAAAAATTGAGCCAATTATATAAGAGTCTGATCTACGTTCATCAACTCTCGGACAGTAATTTTCAAATATTGGAGAATAAAATTGCCACGTTAAATTTCTTTCATGATTAACACTTTTTACATTAAAAAAACCCAACTGAAGAATAGGCATCAATTAACAATTTTTGATTCCGTTAAGAACTGAAAAGCTAAGTCCTTTTTAAAACTATAAATGACGTACGCTTTTTTCGCACCACTTTCATTAAGATTGTGACTTTCCATCTAATTAGCCTGCTAATGAAATGAAATTGAACTGAACTTGAAAAATTCAAACGTCAAAGCGATGAAAATTCTTTTGAGCGTGAGCATCTTTATAGACTTTTTCTTGAAAAAAAAAAACCAAAACATTAACTAAATGAGTGATGAATACATTCGCTCATTAACACGTACCTTGTTCTCAACATGGTCATTGAGAATGACATTGAGCGTGACTACAAATGAGGGTATGAGGGAGAGAATGGAGAGTAACCAGAAACACCACAGTCTCCCAGTGGATGAGTACCCCTTCTTGTACTGGTAGTAGAAGAACATCACAACCTCCACCTAAAACATCATCAACACACATTACAGACTTCCATGAGTCTTATTTTCCTTGAATGGAATAAAATTAATTATTCCTCCTTCTAGGGGATACGTAATAGGTCGCAACACTTACTAGTGTCACACCTTTTGTTTCAGTTGATGCAAACCAGGTACATTACTTTTATTGGTTCCAGCAGAATCAAGTGATAATATAAAATTTCTTTGATTATTACGCTCTTTTTTCTCGAGTAGCCGAGCAAACTAAAAACAAGTCGTGAGGCAGTGATCTACGAAGTTCATTTATGACGACCATGAAAGCTTAGAGCATGAGCAAATACAAAAGTTTGCACGCATTTTGACTTCCTAAAAAAAACTAAATAAAACACGACCAAAATAAGTGAAAACTCACTTCGCTAATTAACATTTATCCTTACATTTTAATTGGTTTTCGTGAATGTTTTTTTTTTCTGAACATTTTGTAGACAAACACCACCTTCATCAAAAACTTTTTCTGCACAGCTTTAATTTAGGACTAAATCCAATCCGCGTAGAAAATTTTAAACCCTTTTCTAGCATGAAAACAAATTATTTGACTAACTAACTGAAAATTTTTTACTGCAGCTCAGCGAAGAACAATTTGATTGTACTAAAAAACGGTCTGACTAAGAAAAAAGCAATTATTGTCATCTGAAGCTCTATCAAGTAAACACGCTAGGTGTAACTTCAATACACGCCTCTATTCAACTTTTACCAGATGGTTTGGTATAATGAAGTAGTGCAGTAATTATGATTAGTACAGTGATTACTTCGATTATAGTCTGATTATCGTTGAATTTCGTCAATACAATATGTCAATGCCGAGTTTTAAATTAACTTTACTTCTGATCAGCTGTCGTTTTCCTTGAATTTAGCAAGCTGTAATTTTTGCGATTGTGTCTTCACGTGCGATGCATTGCCAATATTTTCTAGGAAATCCAGATTTCTTGAATTAATTTTGAATTAAAAAAACCTAATTAAGTTTAGGGACTTCCTCAATAAATCTCAGCCATCCTAAATCTTGCTTTGCGTTTAATTACTTCTGATAATGATAGCTCAAAAGAAATATTAACAACAACTAACCATGGCCATAGTCAGCAATCCATAGCCTAGAAACCGTTCTGAGCTCGCGTAGATTGATTCGTCTGCCAGGAAGTCCGCGGCAGCAGAGATAGTCAGGACCAGACTAACTAACACTGTTGTGAGAGTAGATATCTATGAGAAAGAAATATAAATATCTCCGATGAACCATTTGCACAAAAATGAACAAACAGACTTCTCGACTCCAGGCAAATCCTTGAAGCTTTCGACTGCACCTTGAAGTCCAAGGAACAAATCATATTTTAAAAAAATTAAAATTGTAAAAATTCAACACAGGCAAAACGAAGCTTCGCACCACTTGCGATACAATTCAAACATAAGCTAACATAAGTCCAAAAAATGTTTAGATGTTGAAAACTAGAGGAACCAAAAATTTGACTTTTCAGAGGATGATAACTTCTAGTGTAACACTTTTGGTTGGTGACCGCTAATGCAGAGGAGCTTCCTAGTACCCCTTATCTCATTGAACCCACCATATCAGATTTGGGATAGTAGTTTTCAAAAGTCAAGTCTTCACAAAATCAAAAATTTTACTTTTCCGAGGGCTTTTGGAGTCCAGAAATTTGGGCAAAATCTCATGAACAAATGAGCTTCTTGACTCCCGTTCTCATAATTGAACCCAAAACCTCACGCATGGCAGAATAATTTTCAAAAATAATAAAAAAATTTCAAAAAACAAAAAATTTGCCTTTTCAGAGGGCAATGACTTCTTGTGTAAAACTATTCTGAGTGTACGCTAATGCGGAAGATCTTCCCACTACCGCTTATCTCATTGAACTCACAATATCAGATTTGGAAGGTTAGTTTTCCACAAAACAAAAATTTGACTATTCCGAGAACCATAAATTTACGTCCCAAAAAATTGGTCGCAGCCATTTAGGCAGGGGAGCTTTTCAAAATATTTCTTTCCATTGAAACCAAAAACTCATATTTGAGAGGGGTAGTTTTCGAGAAATCGATAAAGTGAAAAAAAATACGGGTCAAATGTTCCCCCCACACTTTTTCGAAGGCTGTAGACAGAAGGGTCAAGTAGAAAAGACTCTAGGGGAGAATGCAGGTACACAATGGAATGATCAGTCTTACAATTGATACTCCTTTCTTGAAAATTAGGATTAAATTCTAAGAAAAACTAAAAATAATGCAAAAAAATGAAAAAAAATCCAAAACGAAAAAAATGAAAATTCAAAAAATAGATTGATAAACATTGAGAACCAGCTTGAAAAGTGCGGAGGGGAGTACAAAAAATTAAGTTGATCTTGAAACGTGCCAAAATTAGGTCATTAAGCCGATGCAAAAATTGGCCGAAATAATTTTGGCCGAGGATTATTGAGAACTTGGCCGAGAAAATGCGCGTAGAAAAAACAATTCCCGGATGTGAGAACTAAGCCGACAACAGATAAGCAGACAAATAATTGACCGGCAATTTTTTTTTGAAACAGAATATTTCCCGTTTGAAAAAGAAAACAGGTACTGGTCAGACTCGAACCCAGGACCTTTGCCGTCCCAGCCATATTCGTTAACTCCACGCTAAGTTGGCCAGGAACGCTAAAAAATTTATATGCATTACAAAACAAGGTAGAGACTAGTCCAGACGTCCAGATGAGTCCTGTGGACAAAGTTGTTTACGGGAAAAAATTCTAGTACCCGGTTGCAATACCCTTGCTTATCGCAAGGGTAAAAAGAATTGAACCACACGCCATGTAAAAGGCAAAACGATGTTATTAACGCCATGAAACATATTGTTAGTTCTAATTAGCTAGCCTTGAATCAAATCGGCAAATGTCTGAACCGGATCAAATCGCCGCTCACGAATATAATCCCCTTTAATTGTCCCAAACTGGCAGTTTTCAAACATTCATGGCTTTACAAAAAAGACCACTGTTGAAACATCTTTTGAAATTTGAGCTCACGGCATCAATTTTCTTCAGATGGTATGAAAACACTAATCAAAAAAGGCTAGTTAAAAAGTCTCAAAAACCACATCGAGCACAAATATTCCATCTTTTCTTCGAAAGCCGGAACAAAAACAAACAATGAGGCTCGGATAGGCAAGGAAACAGAGCCAGTAATCTGCAAGAAACCTCCAATTTACTCAAAAATGGTAGCAATAGCAATGAGAAGGGCAGACAAAGCCAACAGACAGTTGGAAAAAGTAAATGACGTGTTTTTTGAAAATACTTCAACTTTCGAAATCCAAATTTAAAATCATATGGCCTTAGCTCTTGAATTTTACGCAAACGTTGACTGACACGTTTTTCATAAAAAAAACTCAATTTTAGAAAACTGGATAAAGCTTTTTTTTATTTCGCTAGGAAATCTGAAAATTCCAATATAGAAGTTAGAAATCACGCTTTTCGTGACCTTTACACTTAAGCTGTTTGATAGTGGAGTTTGATTTCCTTTTACCAAATGAAATGAACTGAAATTAAAAGAAATCAAAAGTCAAACAGCGAAAAAGTAAATTCCGATAACTTTTTTCTAAAAATTTTTCAGCCATAAAAAAACACACTCCTGAATCTCGTGCGAAAAATGCCGCAAACGTTTGCAGACAAAACAGCCAAGCTGAAATTGCAAAAAAAAACAATTTTGGATTTTTTAAGTAATATTTGGCATATTAAGACACTATTCTTTGCCATCAATGCACAAATAAATTATAAGTAAAACTTATTCCACGCACTTATTTTTTCAAAAAAAATCAGAAATCCAATTCAAAAACAAACTTCAAATTTTGTGCATTTTTTTTAATTTCAAAAAATTTTCCCTTTTTAACTAAGTTTTAGCGTGTATAAAAACCAAGAAAGCATGAACTATAGTTACCCTTTTGAAAATTAAGAAAAAATTACTTATAAAAAAACAAAATAAGCTACAGAAATAGAACAATCGGCCACTAATCCGACAAAAATTAGGAAGAATTCATTAAAGCCGACAAACAAAAAATCGATTTATTTCAGAACATTTTTTCAATTAGAGACCCTGCATTATTTCACTAGCTTTTTACGAGCTATTGAATTACAAATTTGGCTAGAAATTTAGCTCTTGAAACTTGAGGTCTTGTGAACAAAATTAATTACGAAAAAAAGTCGAGGGTATTGCCATTGCTTATCGCAAGGGTAAAAACATTAGGCTTACATAGAAAAACTATAACGGAGGTTGTTGCAATGAAGATTTGACAATCGGTTAAATATCAAACCGCTCAAGAAGAGAGTTAATTGAGCAAAAGATTTTCTAGCTATTAAATTTTGAAAAAAATGTGCGCCCAAAAAGCAATTTTTGGGACAATCTTCCAAAAAAGACCATAAACTGCATTTTTGTCAAGCGCAAACTGCCTTTTTGACAAGCCCAAAAACTGCACTTTAGTCAAGCTTCTCCAAAAAAATATTTTTTTGTCAAACTGCAGTTAATGGTTCTTTAATGGCGACCTTGGTAGAGCAAATTTATACACAGAGGCGAAGCTTAGCTTGGTAACAATTGCGAAACAGAACGCCACCGAATCGTTAAAAAAATTGAAAAAACAACACACTAAATTGTTATATGTTTGTCTCAAATAAAACTCATTATGATAAAAACCTGCGGCGGAACACGACAGTAAGCATTGTATTAGCTTAAAAAGTGTCCGAGTGGCAACTATGCGGACATAACTGGGATAAATCATCATAGAAAATCTAAACGTAGAAATTTTTTATAAGCAAAAATGTAGAGAAATTTTTGATTTTTCTTTCATAAATTCGATGTGGAATTGCTTTGAATCGCTTAGCAACCAAAGTTTTCAGAGATCACGAGGAAACAAGACGACAAATTTCTAGGAACTACGTCTAACGAAACTAGGACGAAAACAAAGTATCCAAAAAAAAATGCTTGCAAAAAACTGTCGTCTATTTCAATAATTTTTAGCTATCAGAAAATTTGGTAGGTATAGAAGCAAAAAGCCTAAATTACATTACATATACTAGTAACAAATAACGAATTTAAATTAAATTACGACACAGGCAAAGCTTCGGCTCTTCAAAAAATTCTGATAAATTAAGTTTAAAATTTAAGCTAAAAAAATTACTTCAAATTAATTTGAACAGTTCAAAAAGATACAGCTACTATAACCATGATTCTACAGAAATAAGATCATAAAGTCTTTGAAAAAAATAGAACATCAATTACCGAGCGGCAACAAATTTTGGGTCGAAACGTGTTCGAGCCGAAAACAAAACTGTTGTCATGAACCATTTCAAAAAATTCTGAAAATTTTACGACCCATCCAATCTGAAACTCAAAACCGCATGCGAATATATTCCCTCCAAAAATATTCAATATAAGTTGACTGAGCCGATACAACAAACTGAAGCTGTTAAAATATTCAAAAAGAAACGAAAAAAATGGAAAAAAAACACCGAAAATCAGACTTGGTAAATTAACAAATTACTGAACTTTCAGTTGTAGTAATAAAATAATTCAATGCGAACAAAACGCATGCTCTGAGATTAAGCCAATAAAAACCCTATTAGACGAAAAATCAAAGCATGTCAGATATGGAGTCAATTGAACAAAGTTAATGACGAGAAAAAAACTAGTAACCGATAACAATACCGTTGCTTACCGTAAGGTTAAAAATATTAAGTGTACTAAAAACAAATCGCGAAAACAGACTAAAATTGCTAATTTGAACTGAAAAACATCCGAAGATTACGAAAAAACATGAAAATTTTTTTTAGTAATTTAAGATCTGACGGCAATTAAGGCCTCCTAAAACCGAGTCTCTTCCGCAGACAAGTTATCGTTCTACAAAAAAATATAGGTTAGAAAAGAGTTACAGCGAAAAAAATCCATTGACGAAAAACCACTGGAAAAATACCAAGAAAACAGCTAATTAACTCATGACTGTTTAAGTATATACCTAACTATATATTGTAAGAGAAAGTCGAGAAGTGATTTTAAAATTTCAAACATACCTTGTAAAAGTGGAATCAATATCAAAAACGACCCATATCAAATGGAAAAAGCATAGATAAATAAGCCGAGACTTAATAAGCTGAAAAACAGCCGAAAACAGTGAAAAAAGTGAAGAAAAGAAGAAAAATGTTGCATCTATCATCAACAAAATGGTTGAGTCTCTTGACTTGAGAAATTATCGTTCTACAATAAATATTGGTAGCAAGTATTTAAAGCAAATAAAAGTCAGTTTACGACAATACTGATTGAAAATAAAAAGAAAATGCGAATACTCATGACTTCAATTACCTTCGCCAAAAAGAAATGATAAGCATCGCTGCTTGAAAAGTATCGAAGAAAAATCCGAACTAAGTTTTTAAAAACCAGAAAAACTTTCAAAAATTGTGATTTTTAAACTTTTTAAGGAAGTTCGAAAAAATTTTCAGAATTAAAAATTTCTTTAGAGAAGTTAGGTCAATTAAAAAAAACTTTTTCAGAGAAAAGTATTCTAAAAATTCACACAAAACTTGGCTTCGCATCACTTGCGATACCACAAGAATACCATTGCAAGCTAGCAAACAGGAAAGGAAAGGAAGCAACTAAGTCCAACAACAACGGCAAAGTTTTCGAAAAAACTTTTAAAAACTTGCTATATAGAATGGTTTTCTATGGATGGAAAACACTTCCAGAAACACATTCGACAAATGAAAAACTTTTAACTATATATTCTATTCTGAAGTTTTTCTCGTTTTGTGCGATCCGAGGAAAGCAAGCAAATTATGGTTCTCTTGAACGACCCAAAATTAGATTAGTAAGCCGATAAAATATAAGCCGAAATCATTTAAACAGAAACACAACTGCAAGATAGAACTGCAAACAGCAAAAGAACTGTACGATGTGGCAACTAAGCCGACAAAACATAAATGGGCAAATAATACGCCGACAATTTTTTTGAAACGGAATGTTTCCCGTTTTGAAAAAAAAGACCCGGTCAGATTCGAACCCAGGGCCTTTGCGGTCCCAGGCATATTCGTAACCTCCAAGCCGGAGACCCTCGGAAATTTGAATTCATTATGAACCACAAAAAAGAAATTTTCTTTTTCCATAGGAAAAGAAATTAACCACAGAGGCGAAAAGGAGCATTGCATATTTTTTTGTAATAACACATAAATAGCATTGCAAGCTAGCAGACAGAAAAAGAAAAGAGCCACTAGGTCCAAAGAAAACAGAAAAAAAATCCAAAAAACCACAACTAAAATTCGAAAATGAATTATTGAGCGAAAATAAATATGCTGTTACTAAAAACTTTGAACTGTAAACTCTATTCTGAGACTTTAAACCTCTTGTGTGATCTCGCAATTATGGTTCCCTGAAAAACCCAAACCTAAGTTAGTAAGACGTTAAAATATAAGCCAAAACTATTTAGGCCGAAAAAAATTCAAGGCAAAAAAATACGTAGTCAAGGTTAATGGAATTCCGAATGGCAGGAGTTATGTAAAACATAAAAAGCAACTACACTGAATCTGCATACAGCAAAACAATTCTAAGATGTGGCATTTAAGCAAAAAAAAACATAAGCAGACAAATAATCAGCCGACAATTTTTTGAAACGTAATATTTCGTTTGAAAAAAGGTCATGGTAAGATTCGAACCCAAGACCTTTGCCGTCTCAGGTGTATTCAATACATCTAGAGTTAGTGTCCCTGAGACGCTTTGAAATTACAATTCAATACACAGAGGCGAAGCTGAGCTTCGCACCACTTGCGATACAAATAAAATGCAAAAGTTCAAAAGATAGGTTCCAAACGAAAAGTAAGAAATCGTAGTTTAAAAATGAAAGAACATCTTATTCCAATTCTTATAGAAATCAGTTATCTAAAATATAAGAAGGAGTGGGGCTACACAAAGTCCTTTCATTTCTCTCTGATAACAAATAGATGGAAACGATAAGAAAAAAAAACTCGGTCAAATGATCAAAAACTAATATCATACAAACAAACAACCTGCATAATCTACAGTCAAATTTGAGGATAAGAAAATTCCCTATCCACTGCTTGCTTGCTATAAACTTAAATAAATTCAAACAAAAAACGAAATTGGAAAACCAAAATTTCTAAAACAATGATCGCAAAAGTTAAAAAATTTGCAGAAAACCATGAAAACTTCAAAGAGCTATAAAAATTTAACTCAAAATTATCAAATGTGAATAGTCGATAAGAAAAAATGCAACAAAAGTACGCCCGTTAATGAAACAAAAACCACGAAAAATTTTTTAGTTTCAAAAACTTCAGCCGGAACTAACCAAATTCTTGAATATCGTAAGAAGCTCGCCTCATTCTTTCGTACACAAAAAGTCATGTCAAAAATAACATTCCGGAAAAATATATAAATTTTTTGAAATCTATTAATTTTTTCCGAAACATGATTTTTTTCACAAGGTTTTTGACAAATTAAAGCAATACGCTATTATATCGTATTCAATTGAACTTCTGTGAGCCTAAAGCACATCAAACTGAACAAAACTAAGACTAGCTCCACGGATTTTTAGTACAAAAACAATCAAAAACTATAAATTCGAACAATTGAAAATTGAATTCAAAAAAAAATTTCAGAAAAATTCTTATGTTTTTTTTTATACCAGAAAGTTTTGGCGTGTAAAAATACCTAAGAAATACATGATCTACGTTTACCCTATTGTAAAAGAATGGAAATAACTGAACACTTTTATTTGGCAGTTAGGTTAGAAAATAAGAATGTTCGTACTAGCACAATAACGCTAGCAAGCTGGCTAGAGTAAATAAACTGAAAATGTAAAAATTCAGTTAAAATTTTAGACGGAAAAACCTTGCATCGACCACCTATCTTGCATCTACTACCGTCTCTGAAAAAAGGTTATTAACGGGAAAAAAGCGTAGTACCCTGTTGCAAAATCCTTGTTTATCGCGTTTTTAACCGGTTTTTTTTTAACCGGTTTTTTTTAAACCGGAAGTATATTTACCGATTAGAAGAAACTAGTTTCGACATTTCTTAATGAATTTCTACTCACGAGTTGAACAATGAGCACCGAGTTGAACTTTATTGCCCTCGTGGAGTCATACTTTCTCAGTAGAATATCTAGTATGACCAGATTGATCATCACGAAAGGGACAGCTGGGAATACAAAGTAGTGGAGACATGGCGGCAGAGACAGCTGTTCCGGAAAGTGTCGATTGGGGTCCTGAAAATGAAACAAATAGCATAATTAAGATAAGCCAAGAACTGGATCAAGATTAAAATCATTTATCCAAGAGGAAAATGACCAAAACAGGGGCAATTCAGCTCTTTTATGAATACTGATGTTGTTCTGCTGGTTTAGGAACTACATGATGATAAAAATTGAGCTCTCGCAATAGTATTTTATTTCGATTATAAAAAGTAAGGGGTGCCTGAAAACAGGTTGCAAAAATCCACCCTTTCCATGCTTCGGAATATTGGAATAGCTGTGATATGTCTTGAGCAATTTCTACGGTTAGTTCAAAATTTAAACAGAGTCCGAAAATTGAGAAATAAGTTTTGTAATACCAAACAGTTTTTAACAAATTCTTTCACGGGTTCTTTAATAATACCATTTCTAACAGTTAACACGTTACTCAAGCTGGGCAAAAATGTTGTGGGAAACATCAAAACATCTCACCGGAAAGCAACTGCCACAAAACTGCAAGTCCAACTTCATTGTTTCAACTCTGAAATAAAATTAGAAAAATAATAACAGCACAGATATTGTTTAACTAACAAATCAGCCAGCAAACAAGTGTAAAACTCAATTTATTTGTGTTTACAGTATCTGCAAAATGCATTTAAGCAATTCAGTCGTCTAAAATTTTAACAACGTTGGTAATAATCTAAATACCAACACAGTGATTTTCAGAGCTATCCAAAATATTTGATATAATTTTAAAAAAGCTCAGTTAGAGCTATTTAAAAATGAAGTAACTTCCATAAGATTTCAAAAACAAAATGAATTTTATGGACTGTAACGGCTCGCTCAGCCGAAGGACTAATGAGTTCGACCCAAAGTGTGCTATTTTTCGACCGACTTGACCCAATGTGGCTATCTTTCGACTGAAGAAGAACGCATTGGCGGTGTTCAAATCAGGCAAGATGAAACATCTGCGAAATCTAGTGAACAAAGAATGTTTTTGACGTATCAAAAAACCTATAAAACGATTGCAACAGGATAAAAAAAAACTTTAAAAAGTTTTATATTTAATTTAGTTCACACTCGCGTCGTTTTCGGTGCAAGGTGTGATTAGAGAACTATACAAACGGGCGCAAAATTAGTGAATTAGGCATGATTGACAACATTTATCTTCAAAAACTGAATGACGACAAAAACTAATTTTCACTATAACTTTTTGAAAACTTTTATTGCGCTAAAAGAAACCAGTATTCTTTAAAATGATTTTTCATTTAAGGAACGTTACTCAATCGCTTTGAATTTTTCAGAAATTTGTCTCGACAAAGCGACAGCTTTTTGATTTTTAAATGTCGCTCGAATCATGACTAAAATGGCTTCAATCGAAAAAATCACTAGACCATTCCTATGAGTATTTATGGAACCTGATTTTGCATGGAAAAAAAAACAGAACACACCCGCGAATACGAAGTCCCTACCCGATTTCAGCAATGGCCGCAACAAGAACATTATTGAATTTTTTTGTTTATCAGGTAGGAAGAAATATTTGAAGACGAAGATTCCACTGACTGAATAACAGCACCTAAAATTTAGTTTTTCAGATTTTTTTTAAATCAATTTTTATTTCGGCTTCTGAGAAATCTAAATATTGTTGCCATCGTCACTGATACAATTCACTGATACAAAGTCACTGATACAACTCATAAAACAATTACTAATTTTGTATATTCTTTTTTCACGGAAAATATGAACATATACACTTATGAGAGCCGTTTCAACAAAGCTACGTTTTGACAGATTGTCAAAAAAATGTTTACACTGCTTGATGCAAACCTTATTGAAAGAAACAAAATAGACAATTCTCGAGCAAAAACATATATTTAATCGCAACCCAGAAAATATTCCAATATAACAAGAGTAATTATATGTTACTATTCATAAGCACACACTTTCCAAGTCAGCTTTTCAACCAACTTTCAGTTAGCAATAAAAAAGCTGGAATTAGGACGACACAATTTTTGATGAAAGATTATGTAAAAAAAATAAATTAAAAACATTTCAAAACTTAGTATTTACGCAAAAAAATGTCAAAAAAACTAGATGAGAAAAATAAAATTAAGACACAGAGGCTACGCTGAGATTGGCACCAATTGCGATACAAATAAGAAAGCCGCTAACTCAGAATTCAAAAAAAAATCTTAAATGTCGAAAACACTAGATCTATAAAAAAAGTAAGGCTAAATTTCATATTAAAAAACGCCAAGACAATGGAATGTGAAATAAGCATAAAAAAATTATCAAACGATAACAAAGCCGAAAAATACCGTGGCAGGAACCCTTTAAGCCGAAAAAATCAAAAAGACTTAAGTTAATAAGTCCCCTTCACCCTCAAAACATAGACACGCCATCACAATTTTTTTTGGCTCGTCGAAAGACGCAATATGGCCAATAAACCAATATAATATAAGCCAAAAAACCATCAAGCCGAAAGAAAAAGAAAAAAAACAAAAAAGACGAAAAAAATTGTTCATGAAAAAACGTGAACTAGAATTTTATTAAGATTTTAGCATTTTGTGCGATCCAGAGGTGCGCATAAAAATTTTGTTTTCCTTGATACGAATCGAAATTAGGTCACTGAGCCAATAAAAAACAGGGCGAAATCTCTTGGGCAGAATAAAGTTTTTAAGCGAAAAAAAATAGGAAGTCAAGGTTAGTAAAATTAAAAACATCAGAGGTAAATCAGAAAACTAAAAGACTGAAACGTAGCCAATCGAAGATTGCAAAAGAGTAAAGAACGCAAGTAACCATGAAAAAAATACACTGACTTTCTTGAAAAAATAGGTGCCCTTTAAGCTGTTTGAATTTCTAGAGCAGTCTATGATGGGCGCTTTTTTGATCACATGAAACCAGCTAGAGAAAACCGGATCATTAGGTAAAGTTTTTATTTCACTTGAAAGCTGTAAATTAAATTCGACTTTCGAAACAGGAAATTGTTCACGTTTTTTCGCGCCACTTCCGATGTTCTTATTTACGTCACTTTCAGCAGATGTATTTCAATTGAACTCAAAAAGTGCATATATACCTAAGTGCATTCACATCTGAAGTTATTAGAGACTTTTAAGACTTTTCCTGAAAAAAAAACAAATCAGCCAGACCTATATAAGAGTCTTCACTACGTTCATTACTCTTAGAAAAACTTTTAAAAAAACCTACAATATGACTACTAAGCCGACTAAGCATAAGCAGACAAATAACGAGCGAATTGGTGTGAAACTGAATATTTCCCGTTTGAAGAAAAAAACAAGTCCTGTCAGATTCGAACCCAGAACCTTTGAAGTCCCAGCCGTACTCGTTACCTCCAGAACAAGTGTGCCGGAGACACAAAGATATAAATATTAATTATGAAACGAACCTAAATTTTGCATTCCTAATTTTGAAAATTCTGTGCTTAAAGTTGCTATCGCAACGGTAATAAGAACCCGAAGAACAAAAGATAGGAATAAACTCGAGAAACATAAATGAGAAAAATGTAGAAAAGTCCGACCGGTACTCGAACTATCTATCTACATACTCTAAACAGTTCAAATCCAACCGCTACGCTGTCTGTGCACTGTAAGATAGGTTGAAGGCATTCTCCCGTAAGAGTTTAAATGGGAAAAGTCGAGTACCGATTTAAAAGCCCCGTCCAATCGAAAAGTTTAGAAGCTCATTTCATTATACTTTTATGACTACCGCAAAAATGAATAGATAGTTGAAATGATTTGACAGGCCAGTGGTCAGAAACGGAAATTAATAAGTTCGGAAACGAAAATTTATTTTTAGAATATCGGCCGCAAAACAAAACGACTATCATTAAAAAATTTTTTACTACAAACCATAGAGATAAAACTAAGCCGGCAATACGTATGTAGAGGCTCAATGAGCCGAATACAGAAAAAACGCCATAACAAATTGTTGTCAGAGAAAAACTTTGAGCGAATAAAATTCAAAATCTTAAAATTTTACATCATAAGCGACCTGAACTTCTTTTAGATAAAATTATTTGACAAAACCGATAAAACAAAATTCGAACCCAAACTAACATTTAAAAAATGAATCAAATCCGAGTTGTTAAACTGACAAAGCAACATAAATTAAGAACAAGTCTAACCAGAAAAAATCCATTTATAGGAAAAAAAATTCAGCCAAAACATAAGCAGACAAACGAAAGTCCAGCAATTCAATTATCCTGGAAACAAAACTTCAATTTAACAGGGTCGGTCGGGACTCAAACCCAGATCTTTGGGTGCAAAAGCAAACGCGTTACCTCCATAGAAAGTGAAAAGATGACATAAAACAAACTCAGATGACATTATTGGCTCCTTCAACTAAGCCACTCGAAATGAAAAATTGACAATAAAAAATCAAAATAAAATTAACTTATACATATGAGCAAAGCAGAGCTTCGCACCATTTTTGACAAATCATCAGCGTAGTAGGGCAACAAGCAAGACGACATACATAAAAGAATCAAATAGGAAGGAAACACTTGCAATGTCCAAAAAATCTGAATTCTTTCACATTTGTCTCAAATAGTTTCAAATGAAATTACTTTTGAGAAACACGCGCCAAAAAAGTCAACTATTTGCTCTAAATTAGCAGTGATCAAAATTTACGAAGTGTGAGTACTTAACAATCTCTTTTTTTTTTCTAAATTTCAACCACAGCGCATACTTTTTTTCACATATTTCATTTTCAAAATTTTTGTTATCGGACCAGTCTTAACTTGAATTATATCTATATAAAAATATGAGTGCTTAAAACTTCACTCAGAAAAAGTTACACTTCGCAAACACAAGTGAGAAAGCGACGAAGTAGCTCTCAAAAAGCAAATAAGATTAAGTAGAAATTAGCCTTGTTGCTTTTAAACGGGCCCTTGAAAGTTTACTAGCAATAGCAACAAAAAAAGCAGCTACAGGAGCTAAAAAAAATTGTCAATACCATGTAACAAAACGCCAGCAAACATAAAAAAAAACTAAGGCTCAATGCGACATTGAACTTCCGTCAACTAAAATTGGAGCCTCGCGCCCTTCCATCTGTACCTAAACAATACTTAGCGAGAAATCTAGGCTACCCGATAGAACTTCACCAGTAATATCGCCCCTGCCTCACAAACCATCGATAGCCTATGCGAGAATCCCGAAGAATCTGTCCAACATCTGCAGCTTATCGCATGACTCCACTTAACGAGTTTTTTTCGGTTCTCCCAACGAACTAAAAACTGCCCGTTTGATCGGGCAACGAGTCTCACTCGGTTCTCCACACGCAGAAAAACTTGGACCCTAGTAAGGGCATCATTAATGACAACCAAACCCCCTCTTGATTGTGCTCTACAGAAAGGAGGCGCCGACACCAGCACAAATGCGCGTTCACAGGTAAAGGTGGTTCCACTTTTACGTCGGTTTTGCCGCTAGAGACTATGGTCGTAGCTTCAGGGATAGATTACAGAAGACGACCAATGAAAATTCATTAACACACACACTCTCTCTCTCTCTATCTATATATTTCTCCACAGAATCTATCTCTCCAATTCAATCAGAAGTTCGGAACCCATATCAGTTTAGCTACAACAACAACAACCACGGTCAATTG